AAATATAATGAAATTGAGTAAGTCTGACCATTTTGCGTCTTTTGAGTAATAAAAATGTGGGTGTATGGAATTTAAAATTACCAATCTTTTCCAAAATTAAATCTGTCATTTAAGGCTCTAGAATATCTCAATCACGTTTTACACCAAGCTCGCTGCATCCGCCGTATCAATCTCAATGTTCAGGTGTCAACAACGGGACTGGTAGAATCGCTTCTCACACCACTTATTAGCCACGGTAATCCTTTATTTTGAATACAATAACGAAAATATAATTTTAGAAAAAGTCCGGCTTGAAGAGTTGTATGTACGCAGGTATATTTATCGCCCTTGTTCCTTCCAAATATTTTTTAAAAAATATTTCAGGCGCTATATAGGACAATACTTCCCAAAATTGGCTAAACTAATTACTGCTAATGCCAAGACTTTGCGCGTTATAGGCAAAATTGGGCTTACTGAAGCTATTGAAGGTTTCAATGAACACGTGAGATTTTTATTTTATACTCTGATAATTTTAACAAATATCCTCTATGTTACTCTTGAAAATAATGCCAGGACATTGGGGTTGAGGAAAAGTAGGGGAAAATGTTCAGGCTTGATTTCTACCCATATTTTCGTTTTAAACTTCTCGAAAAATATTTCCAAAATTTTGAAGAACATTTAATTTAATTATTTTTAGATTGCACTAAAACGTCTTTCCCTCATCAACTTTGATTTAGTCGACAAAGAGCATTCAGAATTAGACAATGCAGATTTGGCTTTGACATCCAGATTTTATATTCGCAGACTAGCCGGCTTGGGTGCCTGTTTTGACCATTTATCATATACTTGCTACACCGGATTTGAAATAACTCGAATGCCTGTATTGTTTATGCTTCGTGTATGCAAGGTAAAGAAATAATTATTATTAGCTTCAACAGCTCCTTAACAATAATTTTCTAGGTAAAATCCCTTCGCCTGACAATGCAATGTGGAACAGCCATTTTGGACCCGCCTACCCCACGTGTTCTCCTTCCAGAATTAAAAATATTGGAATTAGTTGGAAGTATGGAAGTTCGCTCAGATTTTTTATCCCGTTTATTTCCCTCTTTGGAACGATTTGATTTTCAAAAACAAGACCTCATAACTGGTCTAGTTCAGCGCGCACGTGTTCTTTCAAACTTTGATTTTGTGATTGAACCAAATATTAATCCAATTGCCGCTGCTTGCTAGAAAGGATTTTAGAGGATTTTTAAATTTTATTTTTAATTTTAATTTTTTTGTACAATATAATTTAAATAAAAGTGAAAATACGAGCTTAAAAATATAAAAGAAATAAATTTGTAGATTTTACTGAAATAAATTAAATAATAGGCAAGGTCCGGAAATTCTAATCTCGTGGTCATTTGGTCCAAAATTGTTAGGTTTGTCAATTTGGATTATTTAATTCGTAGGAATTTCGATTCTTAAAGATTCAAAAAAAGGTCAAAAATTTTAAAAACAAAATTTCTTAATTAAGATTTTGGAAAGTTGGAAGCAGGTAAATGAACTCTCCATCCAATAATTTGTTTGTCAAATCCACAAGTAATTAAATTATTTAGAAGATTGTCAGAAAGCCATGTACAGGCACTAACTAGTCGATGATGACACTTAAATAGAATAATTGTTTAAAATAAATTGGGTAACAGACAAGGGGCATCCACTAAATTTATGGGAAATGTTTAGAGGAAATGACCAAAAATAAAAATTTTAAAACAGCTATAAGGTATTCACAAAATTCCCACCTATTGGTATCTTACATAGTCCTCTTCAGAAAATTTTTTTCCTCGGTAAAAATACCTTAGAAAATAAATCAAAAATACCTTTCCAGCACTTCGTGGAATTCTAGTCATTCGACTTCCATTCATATCGTAAATATAAATATTTCGATTATCCAGTGGTATAGCCAACAGATTTTTTAAATTGCAAATTGAAATTTTATTAACCTTAAATTAAAATTTTTGAAATTATAAAAATTATTTAAATATAACCGCAATATTTAATCGAATTGCGGAGATTGGACTTCGCATATTCCTCAAATCCCATACCTGAAAAATAAATTTGGAATTTTCAAAAAAATAAAATATAAACCTTTACGGTCTTGTCATCGCTACCAGAAACGATATGATGTAAATGAGAAAATACAACGGATGTTACGGAACTGTGAAAAAATAATTGTTTAAAACTGCGTGGATTGTCTTATATTTAGGATGTTGAGGTTAAAATTCTAGTTAACCAACAGAAAAAAATGGTGGGTGGCGTACTACGCATCAGTGATATAACCGCCGTGATGCACGCAAATCGAGAATTTATTTTTTGCGGCTAGATCCCCACCTTGCCTACCCCCAATTTAGGAAATAAATTCAAAACAAACTCATTATGCCCTTGAAAAACAGCAACTGAATGAATAGGCTCTCTAAAATCCCATAGACGAAAAGTGAAGTCACGACTTGCAGTAGCCAACAATTTTTGCGAGGGGTGGACAGAACATTTGGTCAATTCCTGATCGTGTCCTGTTTAATCGGCATAAATTAAAAAAAAATTTAAATAGTTATACCAGAGAGCGTTTTTACAATTTTTCCAGTTTCGGCATCGAATAAATTTGCAGTTCTATCCCAAGAGACAGTAATAATTTCGTCACCTCCAAAAAGCCAATCTCCATCCGTCACAACATCAGAATGTCCTAGTAATTAGAAAATAAATTTTTAAAAGAAATAAAAAAACCAGTAAGTTTAAGCAAAGGTTGGTGTATTTGTTGCAAAGGCGGAAGTTCTGCTAAAATTTAGAAAAAGAATTTTAGGAAAAATTTCAGAATGACACCCAAACACCGATTATTTCGAATAAGGTGTCATTCGAAGGGACTCGTGTTGAATCTGATGACGCCAAAAAATCTAACCATAAATCGATTTTCGGATCAGAAGCTAATTTTAGTGTGACTCACAAGCTCAATGACCCCTATAAATGACATAATTCGACACGATCGGCATCCGAGTAGTACTCCAAAAATTTCTATTATTTATTTCTAAAGGAAGTCTCGGTGAAACTTAACAGATTTTTGAAGAAATTTAACAGTAATTAAGAAAATCTTAAAAAATACAAAATATATACCGTTTTGAAAATCGTTTTCATGCAATCTTTCAGTTATTTGATCAAAATTGACGCGCCAAATATGCGAAGAACGATCCCCGCTACAGGTAAGAAATGTTGGCTGACACCCCGAATAACTATTTTGATCACATCTAATAGCCACAGAATTGACAGAACCGTTATGGGCGGAGTAATTCACAATTGGTTGAGAACCATTTTCTGTTAACCAAATTTTGGAAGTTTGATCTGAATTTGAAAATTTATTAAATTAATAACAAAAAAGTAAATAAACCTGCACTAGCACTAGCCAAAACATTAAAATTTCCAACTTTTGCTGTACAAACATCCCAGACTCCGTCTGTATGTCCTTTAAAATTCTGAACAAAACGATTCTTGGATTCTGAGACACTTGATCCCACTTTCAAGGCAAGTTTGCCTGACGGATTTTTAAATGCAGATTTCCATTTTTGTTGTCTTCCTGCTAAATTTTAATTGAAAATTTAAGGTTTAGGGTTAAAAGAAGCCTACATCTTTTCCCACCACTAATGCTAGTTTCCATCGCTTGGTTGAAATAATCATTTTCGCTTTTTTGAAAGGAAGTATTGCTAACATGTTCAGACAATTCTCTCTGTATTGATGTGTCTTTCTCATTAACGATTCTTTCATTTGGACAGACTTCTTCCAAACGAAGACGTACTAAAAATAATAAAAAATTAAGAAAATTTAACCAAATTTTAAGAAAACATTCGCAATTTTCCAAATGTATAGAGTCCATTTCCCTTTCTATAAGTGTAAATAATTCATAGAGACGTCTCCTTAAATAATTAAAAAATTCAAATGACTTAAAAGATATAAAATAAACTTGTAGGGAAGAATCGGAACTTTGACTGAATCCGCTTGGCCTGCATGTTCTGGATATTTCAATCTTGACAACATTAGGGCTGTATCGGTTTGACTGCGTGCCCTGCTGTCAGCGACATCATTTTGTGTATTGTTCATCTTCGATTAGATTCGAACTGATTAAAATCTTCGGATTAATTGTAAGAGCAAAACACAGACATTCTGCCACTAAGGGCAAAAAAGACATTTTGCCAGTACCAATTTTGCCAACACGAATTTTGCCAACTTGGGCAAAACAACAAAAAACAAGCTTACAATTTTATAAATTTTCTTTAATAAAATAATTTTTTAAATTTTAGCTTTTAAATTTATTCTTCAGAAAAATGAAGAAACAATTACCTTTTGAATTAAAAAATGATATTTTCAGATTTTTGCCAATCAAAAAATCTATTTTATTGATAACAATTTCATCTAATATTTATTTAGTAAATAAAAAATTTATTAAAAAAATTTGGGAAAAGGTTTTTAAATTTATCCAAATTTATTTTTTAAAATTTAGAATAGGCCTTTAACAACAAAAGAATGGACTAATCTTTTAACAAAAATGAGAAAATATTGTAAAGAAGGCAAAATACTTAAAGAGTTTGGGGTTTTTTAATTAATTATCTGTTTTTTGAGTTAAAATTTATAAAAGGGGATTTTTAATTCAATTTAAAAATTTCTTCAAAAATTTCTGGGTAGCGGGCGTTTCAGAAGCCGTTTCAGTCTCGAGGGTATATTTTGGGCCATAACTTTTTTAATCCTTAACCGATTTAAATATTTATTATATCAATCGAAAGCCCTGAATGTGAGGATTATTTTATCTAGCAGGATTGAATTGATCAGATTATTCTAGAAAAAAGTAGAGGCGGGGAAATGCACGCAATCGTGATTTTCAATATTTATTTGGCTGTAACCTTTTTTTAGTGAAGATCTTGTAAGGATGATTCACCTAGAGCATTTAAAACGCTTAGGTGGATGTTAAACGATCTAAAAGGATAAAAGAGCAAGTATTAGTGCTTCCCTGGTAGCTCAGAGGTAGAGCTACTGTATGTGGTGAGCGAAGGCGGCTAGCAATAAGTGCAAGGAGGTCGCAGGTTAGAATCCTGCCCGGTGGCTAAACTTTTACTAAACTCTTTCTATCTGATCAAATCAGTAATCTTCAAATCCAGAATATAACCTTAAGACTTAAGCAGCTTCTAAATAAAATATTTAATATAGTACTTAATTTATTTTAGTGTTATTAAGTTGATTGAAATTAATGAAAATATGTATGGAATCCGTTTATTTAGTGAAGGCAAAACTTTGTAAAATATTTTTTTAATTAAAAAAAATATTTCATCAATTTTTAGGAAAATAAAAATTGTTGGTTACAGAGATCATCCAATAAATAAAGAGCCAAGACGGATTATTTCATATAAATTAGAGCCGTCAACTTCAAGATGTTTAATTTCTTATTTTGAGAAAATTGAAGGAGAGAATTAACACAAAAAATTAATTTTTTTTGTAAAAATCTTTGACTAAAATAAAATTGTTTTTTGTTAAAATAAACGTAAGACAAGCTCTGATTTTTAGAATTTATGGTCTGGTATTGTGAGAGTATATTCTGGGGAGTAGATGGTACACATAGCCAGAGTTGGCCTGGTTCTAAAAATAAGAACCGGGTATTTATCGGCATAGATTAAGTTTTGTAACACATTTTACTTGTAGAAGTAGAGGGAGGGGGGACGAAATTCAATTTTACCTGTCTGTTGCAATAAATAAAGTCTGTTGCTAACACTCTAATTTTCAATGAAAAACTTTTAAAATAAAGAAATTAAAAATAATTTATTTTTAATATTTATGTATATTTGATTATAAAAATTATAAAGTACTTATAATTGAAATTTTTATTACTCAAAATATATCAAAATCATCGCCTTCATCTTTTACTTCAAACTAAAATAGTAAATAATTATAAAATATTTTAAATTTTTATTTAATTTTTAGGGCGAAAGCATTTTATCTAAAATATCGTTTTAAACGAACATTAAATTTTTTCTAGATTTTCTTAGACTTTTTGGTGTTATTGTCGTGTCAGTATCGTAATTATGGAATAAAATCTTCTACTAGTCTTTAGTTTTGAAAAATTTTATCGTGGAAATCCGACCAGACCCTCTCCAATAAATTATCTAACAAAATAATTTACAGGGGAATCCGGACTTTTTTTGTCCTACTACGATCCGAGAAATTTTTGAACGTTGTATCGAAACCTTAAATGACTCTTTCTTGACCCGTTCCATCCCTTCTGATCTACTAAAAAAGTCATACTTTCATTATTTAAGCGTTTAGTGCAAGCTACGTTTCCGTTTATCAGAAAACTTCCAACCATCGTATTTAGAACAATCTCCACCAAGAAGCTTTTCGTTTTTGCAGCATACTCGGTCTTTATCTTAAATATTTCTTTAATTTAAAAAAAATTAAATATTTACCTTCATCACACTTATCGCAATCACAATTACACCCAAAAATGTTGCAATGTGGAGGGAATCCAAGGAATCCGTTAACTGTACAGCAATATCCGTTTGTCTAAATAAATATTTAGAAAAATTATTTCTTCTATTTTTCAAAGTACTTTTGTTATTTTTAAGATATTTAAATTTAAAAATTACTTTATCAACAGAAGAAAGTAAAACAAAAATAAATGTAATATAAATAAAATAGTGATAATTCATTTTATTTAATAGAAAAATTTTCCAAGCTTTATGAAATACTATAAAAATTATTTTTAAATATCTACATATTTACTATTTTTTGTTTTATTTAAAAACAAATATTTCCAGAAACGTTTATGTATTTAATTATCTCCGGAAATCTTTTATTTTTTGCCTTCCCCGTAAATTCTAATTCTGACTATTTCCGGAAAATTAAGTTTATGCAAATTTAAAACCTGTAATTTCATAAACTAATAATTAGATGGGGCCCGGTCCGAAAGATCGAATCGGGCATCGATTTTGGCCCGAAAAAGACTCGGCTGGGTCGGCCCGATAAAAATGAAGCCTGAAAAAATGGCCCGACTCGAAAACCCCAACCCCACTAACAATATGTTTTTTAAAAATAATTCTGTCATTTTTATTTAGAAATTATGTTAAAGAAATAAAAATGAAAAAAAAATGATTAAGAGAATCTTTAGAAAATAAAATTGATAGGAAAGTAAAGATGATCAAATATTTTCTCATTTAAATTTATATTCAAGTCCTTAATCATGAATGTGTTTATTTTTTCTAAATTTTTTAAAGAATTGTGAATGATTCATAAAAATGATTAAAATAATGAACAATTTGTGTGAATCATTAGAATGGTTTAACATGCTTTAATGGTTTAAGATCTCCTTCGAATCCTCCTCCAATCTCCCTTAATCTCTCCAAATCCGTCTATATCCCCCCAAATCCCACTATATCCCTTTAACTTACCTGATATCCATCCAAATATTTAATATCTCCCTTCTGAATGATTTAATTATAAATAATTTCGTGACTTCTTGAAATTAGTATAAAATTTTAACGTAAAATATCAATAAAAAAATTTTTTTTAAAAATCTAAAAAAATTAGTCCGGAATCTGGGTAATTCTGCCGGATTCAGGAAATTATTTTTACCGGATTAAAACCGGACCGGATTTATCCGGAGAAATTCGGCCGAATCCGTCCAGATCAGGTTACCAACCGGAATTCGGGTGAGGAAAACTCGATTTTGTCGGTCACTACCAGTGCTTCGAAGCTCGTACCAAAATTCGTACTCGTACCTCGTACTCGTACTCGTACCTGGTACGAAGTACGAGTACGAGTACGAGCAAAAAATTGGAGCAGGTACGAAGTACGAGTACGAGTACGAGGCCAAAAAAAGTGAAAAGTACGAGGTACGAGGCCTAAGTACGAGCTCGTACTTCTCGTACTTGGTGTTAAAAGGAAAATTAAAGAAATATATTCAATTCCTTTCATTCGCCATTATATGAGCGAGTGGCCGAGTGGTGAAGGTCCTTGGCTGCAACAGACTCTTTAATGATTTAATATTGGGTTCGATTCCTATTCACTAGACAATGAAATATGGCTTCAAAGCTTCAAATATTTTTTTCATAAATAACTTATTTTATAAGTTTAATTTTATTTTAAAAATTATTTTATTTTTACATGGAGTAATTATGAGATCTTGAAACTCTAAAATTCTTAAAATATTTTACTTTGAACACTAAAAAGTGATTTTTTCGCCTACGGCCTTCTGAAATTTTCAAAATTTTTGCCTGCGGCGCTGAAAAATGGAAGAAATCTGGCTTAAGGACCTCAAAATTCTCAAAATTTTCGCCTGCGGCGCTGAAAAATGAAAGAAATCTTACTTAAGAGCTTCGCTTGAGGCGCAGAAAATGGATGAAATCGGAGGATTTATGGCTTCAAAGCCTTCCAAGATTCAAAAACTATCGCATACAACGCTTAAAATTTAAAAATAGATGCCCGGGCTTAAAAAAATCATAAAAATTTTTGATTTTTTACTTTTTTCTTAAGTACGAGTAAGTACGAGGTACGAGGCCAAAAATAGGGGTGGTACGAGGTACGAGTACGAGTACGAGCAAAAAAATAAAGGTGGTACGAGGTACGAGTACGAGTACGAGGCCAAAAAAAGAGGTGGTACGAAGTACGAGTACGAGTACGAGCAAATTTGAAATTTCGAAGCACTGGTCACTACTAGAAATGATTGATTTACTTCATTTTCAAAAATTAATAATTTCGCCAAAAATGTCTTTGTTAAAACTAAGAAAAATGGTCAGAAGTGGAAAAAGTTATAAAATGGTCAGACACAAAAATGGCTTTTGATTTTTTAAGGTAAAAGTTTTTTAAAAATTTTTTCTATTTTTATTTTCTAAAATCAAAATTCTTAGGCTTAACTTCATTTAAATATTCTAACAATTACAATGAATATCCATTCACTACCAAGAATTTCTGAATTACCACAAGATGTTTGTCAAAGAATTTGTACTGGATTAGTAATTCTTGATCTAGCTGGGGCTTGTAAAGAATTAATTGATAACGCTTTGGATGTTAACTCAACAAATATAGGTTCTCTTTAATTTTTAATATTCTGAGAATCCAAAAAGTTTAAAAATCTGACAACCTAAAAAGTTCAATTTGTGAGAGAAAAGTCTCGGTTCGAATTCCGTGTTTGGTAAAAACTTAAGATGAATTATTGGGTGCTTTTTGGTTATCTGCCCACATTTTCTTTTTTCACTCTAATATAGAAATGGATATAGGTGAATAATGGTCATAGAAATACAAACTTATTTTGGCTATAATGAAAGGGTATCGTGTTATCTCGCCAAAAGCTTGACTCGCCAAAGCTTGACTCGCCAAAAGCTTGTTTCGCCAAACCCCCAAAAGCTGTTGACTCGCCAAACCGTGGAAAAAAGCTTGTTTCGCCAAATCCCCAAAAGCTGTTGAATCGCCAAACTGTGGAAAAAAGCTTGTTTTGCCAAATAAATACCAAAACTTATTATTATTCAATTTGTTAATAAAACTGTGGAATTTTTTATTATTTACCTCGCGGCGGAATAACCTGTTGCTTTTAGCCTGTTGGTTTTTAGTCTTCGCTGGAAAAACTGTTTTTGTGCCAGGCTGATTTTTGGGTTCAAAAATTCGATTATACAGATGATACCTCATTCGATAGTGCTCGACGAGCTGAGTCGAATGACACCAAAGTCAGCTCGGTTGGATGATTCTGAACCGAATTATAACCAACTGAATCTTCGCTGGAAAAACTGTTTTTGTGCTGCTACGGAGGGTAGGCCGGGCATGGTCTTCGCTACACGATGGCCGTGCTTCGCTGCGGTCGTGCTCGCTTCGCTCGCGGCGACCGTAGCGAAGCGGCGGCCGTCGTTCCGCTCGACATGCCCGGCTTCCTCCGCAGCGGCAAAAACTTTTTTCCGCGTAGGCATTATGTTAGAGGTTTCCACATTTTGTATTATGAAGGATTTTGGAGGAGGATTATATTATACACAAAGAGGAGTTTTATAAAATTTTTCTTCAGTTTGGCAATTCAACAGCTTTTGGGGGTTTGGCAATACAAGCTTTTTACCACGGTTTGGCAATTCAACAGCTTTTGGGGGTTTGGCAAGACAAGCTTTTTTCCACGGTTTGGCGAGTCAACAGCTTTTGGGGGTTTGGCAAGACAAGCTTTTGGCGAGATAAAACGTGCCGTAATGAAAGCGCTTGTCCATTTTTTTTGAAAAGGAGAAGAAGAAAAAAGTGGAATAAAATTGCTTTGTAACCAAAAAGATTACATTTAATTTTATTTTGGCTATTTAATTAATTTGTAGGTCAGATCAAAAATCTTTTTGTATTTTAGAGGTTAGAACAGTCGAAAATGGAACTGAATTACTTGAAGTTATCGATAATGGAAGTGGAATATTGCCTGAAGATTTTGATAAAATTTGTATTTTTTTTAAACTTCTATTAAAAATATAATTTTTTTTAATTTTAGGCAAACCTCATTGTACATCAAAATTAACTGGTTTTGAAAGTTTCGATTCTCTCAATACTTTTGGATTTAGAGGGGAGGCTTTAAATGCATTAACAAATACATCGTTAATTTTTTTTAAATTATTTCTTTTTAATTTTTAAAATTAATTCAGACAAGTACTCATTACTACGAGGGATGCAAACTCGAGATGTGCATTTAAACTCGTTTTTGATAGAAATGGGGAAATTTTGCAAAAAGAGCAATGTTCGAGACAGGCAAGGTTTTTTTAATTTTGTTTGTTTCTTTTGGATAATCCAGTCGGGTTATACTTTACAAGCTTAACTTTATGGAGGGATTGTCCGAAGCCTGGACTTTCTCGCTTTTTGGACTTTTTCCTGGAGCCTTTACTTTTTCGGTGCGAAACTGAAAAAATTTCCATTTCAAGATAATTTTGAAAAATTGGACAATTTCTCAACCTGACCTATCCTTGTTTATTTTATTTCAATTTGGGGGTTAGGAATTATTTTTCTCTTCTATCTGGATTAGAACTTTCTAAAATTTTTGAAAATGTTTTTTATTCTCATTTTCAATTTGGATTAATAATTTTTGATTTCATTTCCAGCAAGGAACAACAGTGTCCATTTCCAATCTTTTTAAATTTTTGCCTGTTCGACGTCAAGAACTTTTACGTTCTTCAAAACGGGAATTGTTGAAATTAATTGATTGTGTTCAAGCATTTGCTATTTCACATCCAAAATGTCGTTTTAATTGCTCAAATGTAGTTAACGGGTAATTTGGAATTTTTTTGAATAATTTTTTTCTAATTTTCTCTAATTTTAATCCGAATTATTCTTGGATTTGCGAAGCTTTTTTATTTTCCTTTTCACTTTATCTTACCTCAATTTAAAATTTATTATGTTTAAAATAAGTATTTGACTAACAAAGTTATTTTAATAAAAATTCTGTCCGCAAGTTTTGTCCGCAAATATTACTAGACTTTTTTTTATTATTTTGTTCCTTATTCTGTCATGTATTTAAAATTACTTGCCTAGAATTAATTTTAGAGAGAAATTTATTTTAAAAAATTCTTTTTTCAGAAAACCTTCACAATTACTTTCCTCGCCAGGTGGAAATACTCAATTAATTGATGTAATTACTAATTTACTTGGAACTCCAAAAAATGAATTACTTGAATTGTCTGAATCAATTCCAGAAGAAGATATTCAACAAATTTATAAAATTAATAATATAAATTGTGAAAATATATTTAAACAAATAAGGTTTGTTTTGAATTTTTTGAGGGGATTAATAAAGGGAAATTGCGTTTTTTGAGATAATCGATTTAACAAAAAAATGTTTTGGGGAGTGAACTTTTAAGGAGTTCCTGTAGGTAGGAATTCTCTCACTTTTTCGGTTTACTCAGAAAAATATTTTTCTAATCTGTATTTGTTCAGGTTTATACCTGAAACTAGAGACCTAATTATGAGTGAAGGATCGAGTGCGATATCTCGAAAAATATCGATCTTTTTGATAACCTAGATGTTTTTTGAGATATCATCCTTGTTAATAAAGGGAAATTGTAGACTGAATTATGTAGATTATTTGACTTATTTGTATTATGTAGACTTATTTGTAGACTGAACTTTCTCCAATATTCTGAAAACTTAACATCTAATTAATTTCTCATAGATTATCTGGTTATATTAGCAATTTTGAATATGGACGCTGTAAAATTGTTAAAGAAAAACATTTTGTATATGTTAATGGAAGGCATATTGAATCACAAAGGGTATTTTAATTTTTAGATTTCTCTATAAAACTCTTTAAAGTTATCAAAAATTGCAAATGATTTGTATGGTCAATACAATAAATGTGGGCAACGTTGTATTTTAATTCTTTTTATTTCTATTCCTTCATCAACTTTGGATGTGAATGTTACTCCTGACAAGAAAACTTTATTTTTACATTTTGAAAAAGAGGTTTTTTTAAATTAATTTTTTATATTTTAAAGGGTTTTGGGGAAAGCTAGTAGATTTAATTAAATTTTTATTTTTTTCTGTACTTAACTTTGGGCTTTTCTCCATTCCGTCCCATAAATGTTTGATTTTTCTTTAGTTTTCTAAGTTGGGGGTTTAGTTTTTTATGATATGCTTATAAAAAAGCGCTTATTGTTAGCGTTTTGCGACAGAGAATATTCAAAAAGGGAGAAAAAAGTCCTCTTTTCCCTGATTCTCCTCTCCCTTGATCTTTTCTGTCGCAAGACTTTATTCAAAACAAAAATACCTAATCGGATATTTAATAGAAATTTATTCTTTTTATTTTTTAATTTCAAAAATTTTTTTTAGCTTTTTGCGAAACTCCATTCAACACTCATTTCCACTTTTTCTAAAGTCCAAGGCCAATGTTCAACTACTTTATTTGAAGATTTAGTCCAAAATAAATCTTATTCATTAGCAAAATCCCAACGTTTATTTTATGATTTTAAATCGTCTACTAATCTTTTAAATAATTTGAAAAAATTGGAAAGAACTGACAGTGGTGGGTCCACGAATGTTATTCAGATTGATGATGATTTTTGGTTCGTTTTTTCAAATAATTCGTTAGATTTTAAGATTTAGTCCTAAAGAATTTTTTTGCTTATTTTTGGAGTCGGCTCGACCCAAGAATCTTTTTATTTGTTCAAAGTTACTTTGATTGATTTCCCATTCTTTGCCTAAAATATCCCAGGAAAATTTAAATTAATTTTTGAAAAATTGCTTTATTTTTAAATATTTTAAGTCAACTTTCTACTTTGTCATCAATTACTAAAAACCAAATTCAAAATAAAATTCAAACAACGACAAAAACTCCAATAAAACAAGAAATATCTGCGCTATCTTCAAATACTTCCCCACAATCATTTATATCCTCATTATCTTCAATATCATCATTATCAGTACCTTCTGCCTCATTAATATCATCACTATCTTCTAGTCCATCTGCCAGTTCGTCAAGCTCAACCCAATCAACAATTAGTCAAAATTCAACATTAATCCCTTCCCCATCTTCTGAACGTTTACATCCAATAAACTCTTCTCCAACTTCTATAAAACAACCAATAATTGTTGCCTCTTCTTCTTCAAATAATAATATTTACCGTCCTCATCAAACAATTAAAATAAATTTTGAAGATTTAAAAAATAAAATTTTTAAAAGGAAGAGAAGGGAAGAAAATAGAGAAAAAATAAAAGAAAATTGTCTAAATTCAATAGAAGATGCTGAATTAAATTTTGATGAAAATAATGTCGAGTTGGTTAAAAATGAAATTGAAAGAAGGCTTTCTTTAATGTTGAGGTGGAATTGAAAAAAATTTTTTTATAGAATTTTGGGCGGCAAATTTTCCTCCCAACCTAAAATATAGAGGAACAACGATCAATCCGTTGTGTGATTTAACCGGTTAACAACCTTGCATCGAAGAGCTCGCAGAATTAAGTCCTATCCAATATTTTGCTTTTTTTTCGGCTGGGTTTAGTCATTTAGGTATTTTACATTTTAGTTGAAAATTCAACTACTAAATATGTATGGGGGTTTTTTAGATGGGCTGATAATAAAAATAATTTTAGTAAAATATAATTTTTAATATAAAATATACGGCATTTTCTATTAAATAATTTTCTGAATAAAAAAATTTTTTAAGTAAATCAGATTTTAAACGAATGCATTTAATTGGACAATTTAACAATGCATTTATCTTAACTCGATTTGGCCCCCATTTATTTATGATTGATCAACACGCTGCCGATGAAAAATATAATTTTGAAATGCTTCAATTAACAACTACAATAAAATCACAAAAATTATTTAAAGCTCAACTATTGAATTTTGGGCCGATGGATTTTGCTTTGTTAAGAGACAATTTGGATTTATTTAATAAAAATGGGTTTGAATTTGTTTTTGATGATGATGTTTGTGAGGAGGAGGACGGTCAAAATGATGGGGGTAAAATCTTCTTTAAAAATCAAGACTTTACTTGATATGTATTTGATTAAAGTCTAGATCGATCATCAAGTCCCGTTTTATATAAAAATTTTAAGTTTAGTTTTTTATTACGAATTTTTTATTACCTCTTAGGAATCTCTAAATTTTATGACTGTAATTTGATATTTCTGACATTAGATTAGGAGTATTTATTTTCTTTATTCAACTTGTCTTTAAATTCTTAAATTTACTAATTTTAGACATAACAACAACCAACGCCACCACTCAAAACTCTTCGGCCCGTCTTGTTGCCTTACCAAATATTGTTGGTCACAGTTTTGATAAGCATGGTGAATTAATTAAAATTATTAATTCCTTCAATATTTTTTAAAGACATTGATGAAATCCTTTCAATGATTGCTGAAATGCCCGGTCAATTACACAGACCTCGAAAAGTCAGGTCTATTTTTGCTTCAAAAGCTTGTAGAAAATCTGTAATGTTTGGACATCCCCTTTCTGAATTTAAAATGAAACAAATTATTGAAAATATGGGAAAAATTGAACAGCCGTGGAATTGTCCACATGGAAGGCCTACAATTAGACATTTATGTACTGTTAATTTAGGATAATTTTTTATTTTAGTCTTAACACTTACTACTTATTTTTATAGTATTTTTACGGTTTTTCTAAAATAAATTCGATTTGTTATATATTTTATCAGCAGATATTTAAAAGATTTTTTGGGGATTTTCGAATTTTACTACATACCCTGGGCTAAGGAGTGTGTTAAAAATTGATTTCAATTGAGATTTTTTCATTTTTATTCATTTAAATTTTTTTAAAACGTTTAAAATTTTAGACCGGACTAGGAGCTTACGAGAAGCGAAGTCGATATTTCTAAGTCTTTATTCTAGATGACCAAAATTTTTGTTTGAGATCTCGTATCGGTCCAGCCTCTATTTAAATTACCTTCCGACTTAAATTAAGATAAAATACCTATCCGAAAAAACTTCTGATTTTTCTCTATTCTTTACATTTTTTCCTCCAGTCATTTGTGTATATTCTACGCCCACTCGCTATTTTTTCCTATTCTAGCATCTGGCAATAAAACTTTATAAACTGAAAATTCCAATCAGAGAAAGTTGGTGGGATAAATAGAAAAAAGAGGTGAGGACAATTGCTTTAGATATTTTTGTTGCAGTATAGGATCAAGCTTTAGATAAAGAGTTTATACTTCAACTAGTTGTCTGATAATCGATAGAAATAATAAAATGATCTAATAAATATATCATAAGCTTTAATTCAGAGCTTGGACATTTTAATTTTCTGCCCCTATTTATTCTCGTTTTTATTAATACATACACCTATTTGGACTGTAAATATTTTTTATCTAATTACAGTCAACCCATTAAAGAGAACAAAGGAAATGTCCGTTATACATGGAGCTTATACATATTATTACGACATAGCAGGGATGTCACGGGTTGAGAAAATGTCGGGTTTCAGATCGGGTTTTCAAAATTTTCTTCGGATCGAGATTCGGGTCGGGTCGAAAAGAAAGTCAGTTTCTGGTTTCAGATAACACGTGGCATCTCTGTTACATACTAAAAAACTATTTTAAATAAGAAAAATAATTGCCAGACTTTATCTTTTAATAATGTCACCTACACATTTGGCACTTTTTTCAAATGCCAATTTTATTAGATTCAGTTTTGTATTTGTTTAAAGCCGATTGCTATTTTTTCCTTTCTCTCCGATCAATTTAAAACAAAAAAGTATTTCTTTAATGAACAAATGTTGTCCAAAGCTCTCTAGCCATTTCCCACACATTTACTGATCGCTAAATATGCCTGTAAATAAAAAGTCCAGCTCAATAACTGGATATATATTCAATCAACTTTTTTTATTCTCTCATTTTTCTCCCCCTTTAAATCCCTTTAATTCTTTTCATTTTTTCAATATCCGGGGGAGATATTGACGTCCATGTCCATCTGTTTTCATTTTCTTAAAGCTTAAACATTTGTTGGTTATACTTGCTGTTCCTCTCTCAAATATTCTTCTTTTTATTTCAGATACTTTCCTGAACATTAAATAGAATTTATATTAAATACTTAAAGTAGCACTTCTAAACAGGTGATATTTTTAAAGAAAAAATAACTGATGGGTTTTCGAGCTTAGAATCCTTATCTCAATCTCCAAGTTGTCTCAAAGGGATATCTTGGAACGGAATACCTAATTCAATTTATCTATAAGAGATCGGATAGAGATTGATTTGGACTTTATAAAATTATAGAATAATAGAACAGTTAAACTCTCAGTTTTTTCAGAATGTCAGTAGCAGAATCTGAAGGAGTTCCAGCTGCCAAGCCGGCATCTGATGAGGTAATAAATAAATTTTTTTTGGAAAAATTATTGAAATATATTTTTCTATTCCCTTATAATCTCCTTAATAATTTCCTTAATAATATTTAAAAATAATTTTTTTCTATCAATTATTAATTTAAATAATTTTTAATAGGAAGCCAAACGTCAGGCTTTGGCAGCCAAAAAAGCTGAAGTCCGTAAACGTCTTGAGGAGGCTGGAAAGAAGGGCAAAAAGAAGAAGGGTTTTTTGACACCTGAGCGCAAGAAGAAACTTCGTGTAACGAGTTTATATAAAATTCTCGAAAAAATTTTCCCCGTTTTCAGAAATTGTTGATGATCAAAGCTGCCGAAAACCTTAAAAATCAACAAAAACAATTAGATTCTGAACGTCAAAGTGTTTTAAGTAAACGAATTAGTGCTTGCCCAGATGTTGATAAAATTGATGATGTTGGGCAGTTATCTAAAATATATAACGATTTATTCCAAAAAATGTTACAATTGGAAGAAGAAAAGTATGATATTAATTTTGCTGTTAGTCAAAAGGATTCTGAGGTAAATTTGAGAAGAGAAATAATAAATTTAAAAATCTTATGGATTCGCTTTAATTCAAAAAAAGCTTATGATCGTTTAGACTGTTGATTTCGTACCGAACAGAAAATTTTCCTCAATTTTCGGTTGATCAGAAAATTTCCAAAACCTACAACCTTTAGTAATATTCAACAAATATTATGAGTTGAGACTGGAAATAAGATAATAACACCTGAGGGATGGTAGAACGATAGACGATATTCTTGATTGTTCTCTAGTTGAGATTGAAGAGTTTAAATATCATTTTAAGATTTTTTTATTAGTTAGGGGTCCTTATATTGAGAGGATTGTCGGTCCCTGTAAAGTCTTCGGATATCCTGTCTCGAACCAAAAATCCTCGGTTCGGGTTCAAACTGAAGAACTCTAAATGGGGGGGGGGTATTTATTAAAAGCAATAATTAATCCTTAATTCTGCAAACATTTTTTAATTAATAGATTAATGAAATGACCATCAATGTTAACGATTTACGAGGCAAATTGTAAATTTAAAAGAAAAATTTTTAAAAATATATTTTTTTAATTTTTAAGTGTAAAACCAACTTTAAAGAAAGTTTCCAAATACGACAATAAATTCCGTAAAGTTTTGGCTGGGGAAGGAGAAGCTACATCAACTAAACCAAAAGAGGACTTTAGAGCTAAACTTAAAGCTGTAGAGAAGAAGAATGTTATGGAAGTGCTTGAAAATAAGGTGATGAGGAGAAGGGGGAATTTTGGAAAATTCTCAAAATTTTCCAAAATTTTCCTCAAAAAATATTTAAGTCAATTCCTCCATTTTTAAGCAAAAAAGCAAAGCCGAAAAGCCAGAATGGAGCAAAAAGGGAGATGATAAGGGTGCCGGACGACGAGCAAGTGCTGCCAGTTCTGGTGGTGGTGCTCCTCCATCACCCAAAAAATTAACTGCTGGACAAGCAGCTCCACCACCAGAAGAGGAAGAGGAGGAGATAATTGAGGATGAAGGTGAAAACTTAAAAAATAATTAAAATATTTCTGGGAAAGGCTGATTAAAATGCGGAACAAATGACCTCACGTCACTTCTCTTCTCGACGTACGAGGAGAAGTGAGACGAGTATAGGGACGTCAGATCAGGCTAGAACCAGTGTAGGGATTGGACGTTTGTGGATCCAATCCCAACTCTTTCAAGTAATTGCTTCAGTTCCTAAACTAGCTTCTGGAGCCATACCCAGCACTGACTACACTTTATGACCGAATTAAGTGAACGGGGGAGGGGAAGATTTACAGAGAGCTTACAGTTTATTAATGTAAAATTTGAGGCTTTTATTCACCAATTTTAATCAAAAAATAAATTTTATTTTTTTAAAGGAGAAGGCGAAGAGGAGGAAGAGTGAAAACAATAAAATAAATTTTTTGGAACTTTTAAAAGACGAATTTAAAAATTTTTTGCGAAGAATAACCATTTAAATTTAAGATTAAAATTTCTCCCTTTTATTGCAATTATATTTTTAAAGAAGTGCATTAAAAAAATAAAAAAAAGTTTTGGAAAATATTTTTTGTTTAATTAGAGCGAATCCTTCCAGAATCGGTTATGGGAGTTTCTTCCACTCAAGTTCCCAACAGAGTTTTGTTTAGAAAAATGATAGCCAGCCTGAATTTTTTGTTTAATTCCTTAATGATCTCTTCCTATTAGGGATTGTCACTCTGATTTTTAATAGCTTTCCAATGGATAAAATAAAAATATTTGAAAAATACTCACTAAATTTAATCATGTTATCTAGTTACTTAGAATTAATTAAAAATAATTTTAAAAATAACAATTAAAAATTCAAAAAATTATTTTTTTTTAAAATTTAAACTTTTTTCCCTCCTCTAAGTGGAAAACATTCTTTCCATTTTAATTTCTTCCCCTCCTTTCTAGGAGCAAAAGCAACTTGTTCTAATTTTGTATCCACTAAAATACAATAGTTGCTAAAAATAGGCACTGAAAATTGTAATGGTATATCCTCTTTGTGTCCACTTATTTGAATATAACATTTATAGGATTGCTTAAAATAATTTAAAAATATTTTTTTGTAATTAACTTAATAAATTAAAAATTATTTATTTCTTTTCATTTCAGAGAGCGTCCGGTATTTTGGTCAAAACTTCGAAATTTCTAAATGTGTTGATTTGGACTAAGAGGGGAGGGTTGCTTAAGCAATTTACCTCTAATTCTACAAACACAATTAGAAAACAATTTTTTATTACGGCGTTAGGGTAAACAACACACCCCTTAATTAGTAGAAGCTCTAGCCAACGGGGAGGAGGAGGAGAACGAGGAGGAGGAATCCAATTAATTAAATTGTTTTTTTACATAAAATTACCTAATTTTAAAAATATTAACCCATAAATACTTACATCATATTCAGCCAAATCATTTCCATCAAAATTTAAAGTAATATTTCCTTCCTTAAAATATAACCCCAATTCTTTCCTCACACTTTTATTATCATCGCAATAACCATCCACATAATATTCAGACATATGATCATCAAATTTAGCATTTAACCCCCTCCCAATTTTTTCAATATCTTCTTTATTTCCATTTATAATTTTCCAACAAAACCACATATCTAGACATATTACTGTTTTACGTCCAATTTTGACTACAGTTTTGCCCTCACTGTCAATAATTTCATCAATAAATAATTTGAGAACATCATCCTTTAAAATTTAGATAGTAGGGATGGATTCTTTCGAATTTTAAAAGTCGCAAAATCGAAGCGGGCGCCTTTGATTTAAGTCATACTAGGGTGTGCTTCTATTAGAGACCGTCCTTTATTTTCCGATGCTCTCGTAGGGTGTGCCTCTATTAGAGACTGTGCTTCAAATAGATACTGTGCTTCTATTAGAGCATTTACGCTATATCACTTAATCGTCGACAAATTTTTCGGTTAACCGAAGAATTAGGTGAAACCGACAACCCTACTTAAAATACAAATTTTTAAAAATTTGCTAGCAAAATCTTTTTAAAGTTTCGGTTCCGGGAACCGGAACTCAAATTGGATCCTTAAATTGGAGTAACTACCCTAATACATAGTTACTAAATATTTCCAACTGAAAGACGAGGGAGGGCTGTCTAAATGCTATTCACAATTGTTACGATTTAAAGTACCCCTTACTTTCACCTCTCCCTTCCATCTTATAAATTTTAAAAAATAATTATTAAATACCTTAAATTCAGCATTAATTGGACTAGTAATTTTATCTAATTGACAATATTCTTCAATTAATTTATTTTCATAATAACACATAGGAACATAATAATATAAGGGTGCTTGACTTAAATCATCAGAAACAAGCATTGCATAAATAATTTCGAAACTTCCTTTATTTAACAAGGAATTTGTTAAATTTTTATTTAAAAATAAATTTTCAGTCGAAATATTTTTTGATTTAATTAAAATAAAAAAAGAAAAGAAAATAATTGAGAATTTAATTAAATTCATTTTTTGTAGTTAAAAATATTTTTTATTTTATAAAATTTTAAATTTATTTATATATTTATTTAAGGACATAAAATGAGAACAATTATTTGTAATTAAAAAATATTTTTGTAGAATTTCCCTCTTATCTATAAGCAAGTTAATAATTTTTTGAATTTATTTTAGTAAATTCCCCTATTTTAAAACCGGAAAATCATGATTTTGTTACAAAATTCCCGGTTTATGGACTTCTCTGATAATGAAAATAGTAAACAAAGTTAAGAAATAATTTTAATATGATTTAATCAAAATTATCTTTTTTGGTTATTGTAAATGGAGATAGGATCGAGAAATATGTAATACATATAACTTTCCCAACGACCACGCCTTCCCAATATTTATCTTTCATCTCAAAAATGAATGAATCTTTAATCAAATACTAAATACGCAAACAAAGATTTGGATTTGAGACAAATATTTATTTCAGAAACAAGTAAAGAGCCCAAGAATTTCACCCAAAACCTTTAAAAGAAGTAATTTCATGGCAGCAGATGAAATTTTTGAAAATTTTGGGTAATCAAGAAGCTTGATTTCTTCCATTATTAGCGCCGCAAAACATAGACTATTTTCCAAATTACAAGCCCTGAGAAGAAGATCAATGCCCTTTTAAAAATTTTATTAAAAAATTTTTTAACTCTGTGTATCCACCTTTAAGTAAAGTGCTAAACGCCGGACGGATTTGGCCGAATTTATTTTTTCTTAAAAATTCAAAAAGAGCCAGGGGCTTAATAAAAAATCGAATAATTATAACGTTAGAATTTCTTTATTAAATTGAGGTCTTGACAAATTTAGAAAAATTAAAATTTTTTCATTCTTTTAAATTTTTATCTCTTCAATCATGTTGTTTTTTATGTTTTTGTCCCACAAGGAACTGTCTCTTCTTTCGGGATATAAATTGTCCAAACAAAAAATCATTTCCCTCAACTAAATCTCTCTTCATTCTAATACCAACACTTAGTTGCTGATCTAATGGAGCTATTATAGCTATAGTCAAAGTTGGTCCATTATTTAAAAATTGAGTAAGTGAAAGAAATATAATGGAGAAAATTAAAAGGAAATTAAAATTCATTTTATTTTTTTACCTAAAATTGGTAATTTTTAATTAAAAAATTTAAATAAATTTAATAAACAGTATAACCTGTATTAATCGCCCTCCCTTAAATAATTACCCCATTCAGCGATAGATTGAAACAATTATTACCCCCAAACAAATGTCCTGAAACACGATCAAATTTAAAACCCTACATCGATTATTTACTCCCTCCAGCGGGAGGTCGCAACAATAATTACCAGTTATTAAAGTAAATACGGTAAAATGTTCTCATATTTGATCATAGAATAGGGAAAAAGAATTGACATAATAATTATTAGTGTGAGAGGGAGACTTAAGAGATTTCACTGAAAGATCATTCAGATAATTAAAAGAACCTATAAAATCTGAAACGGTGTTCTGTATCGTCTTTAAATGGATATCCCTATTTGCTGTCAGATCTCTGAATTATCTAAACCTCAGTTTTACGTAAAATCATTTAAATTGAAAGGGAGCTAACTAACATTAAGTGAGAGCTGTGTCTACCTGCAATTTTAAGTAGAATTTGGTCAGTCCCAAAGGATCTAGAAAAATCAAGTTCCGAAATTTTATTTAAAGAGAAATTTTATTAAAAATAAAATAATTACAATTTTTAACAATAAAAGAGAGAAAATAAAATATATAAATCTTTAATTTTAAGCTAAACGAATTAATTTATAAAATTAAAATAAATGCTTTATATTTGTTAAATTTTTCTTAACTTCCGTTCATTTGTAAACATTTTAGATTTTGAAGTGTGACTAAAAATCTTTTGAACAAATAAAAATTTTTTTTTAATTTCTAATTTATACAAACTACAAAAATTTAAATTAAAAATTTTTAAGTTACGGAAATAAAAAAATTATTTATTTAAATTGGAAATATGTATAGCTCGAAAAATAGTCCAGAAAATAACTAAAAAATTTATTTTTTATCATTTTACATTTAAAACAGGAACAGAGGTGGGTCGGAATAGTCAGAGGTGTCGGAAATTGGAAGGAAAAAAACGTCGGAAATCGGAAATCGAAATTCCGACCCACTTCTACATATACAGGAGTATGCCAGGACTATGTAAAAACGAAAGTTAATTAAAAAAACAAAAAAATAAAAGGCGAAATTGGCACCCCCCTTTATTTAGAGGTTATTAACAGAACATCTACATATCTATCCTCTCTCTTGTTACTTTCCAAATCCAAGTTTCTTCAAAGTTTTATCAATTAAACTTTCCTTTTCTTTTTCTTCCGCATATTGTCTCTTTTTTCTAAGTCCAAGTTGTTCAAATAAAAAATTTTTCTTCTCAGATTTAATTTTTGTTTCCTCATTTCCTCCATTTACATCAGCATATTGTCTCTTCTTTCTTCCAACATTTATTACTTGCTGATCTAATGGAGCTAGTATAGCCAAAGTTAAAGTTGGTCCATTATCAAAAAGTTGAAATATTGATAGAAATATAATGGAGAAAATTATTAAATAATTAAATTTGATCATTTATTTATTTTTAACTAGAAAAAAGGGATTAATTTTGAATTTTGTTGTCAAAAGATTCAAAGGATCTGATTAGCTGTGAGTTAGTTTATATCGAACGGTCGTTATTTTTCAAGTAAATATTGACCTTGGTCCTATTTCAATTGTCCGCAGATTCTGCGGTCTGCGTTATGTGCACAGACTGCAAAATCTCAGAACTGCTGTTTCAATTATCCAGCAGAATCTGCGAAAATTGAAATAGGGACCTGGATATTGAAAAAATCGAAAAAATCATTTGGAAAATAAACAAAGATTACCCTTAGTTAGGAGTGAGAAATTTTAGACAGAATTTAAGTGGATTTATAATTCTTTAGGGATATCGTTTAAACAGTCGCCACAGTGTCTCCGAGTTTTTGAGTATTATATTTATTTATCGAATAATTATGCCATAATTACGGAGTAAAAATAAATAAAAACATAATGGAAAAATATTTTTTTATAAAATTTATTAAAAAATAAAATAAAAAGTTTTTTAAAAATCTTTTTTATTAACGTTTTATATATGCCATGTTGTTTTTTAAATATAAAATTTTTTTACTTCCTTAAAAATAAATAAATTTATTGGACAAATAGTTAAATATTTAATGTACTAATTAATGTAAACAAAATTTAATTTTATTTTTCTGGCTTAAATAAAATTTTTAAAAATAATTTTTAATGAATAAAAGTTTAATTTTTGTTTACTTTTTTAAAAGTCTATTAAAATAAAATTTTAAAAATCGAGTAAATAAATTGAAATAAAAAATATTTATTTGTTTGAATTTTGTTGAAAAAAATAAAAATATTTTTAAAATTAAAAACAATTTTTAAATGCACTTTTCTGTTAGTACAGCTTTCTCTATATTTTTATTTTTTATTATTTAAAATAATTTTTTTCTTATTTTTAATAATAAACAATCAAGAAATCAAGATTTTTATTCTTAAAAAAATAATTACGCAATTAAACAAAAAATTATTAATTTTTTTCTTTTCATTTTCATCCTTTTTCGGGATATTTGCGGACATCCACAAACCTTTTTTTATTAAATATCCTTCTGCAAATGTTGACAAATAATTCTGATAACTGATAAGGTTAGGTTATTCGATTTTTTTGAATTTGAACCCGACTCTGACTTTTTTTCTCGAACTGACTTATCCCCAGGTATGCGCTATCTAATGGATGCCTGCTTATTTCAATAGATTTATGTTTTGTCCGCAAATTCTGTCCGTAAATATCGCTGATTCATTCCTCTCTCTTTCTATTAAATAATTTGGTCATTTTTGATCAATTTATATTAATTTTATTATGCAAAAGGAAATATAAAAATAAAGATGAACAGATATAGATGAATGATGGATTTGGTGAAGAATATATTGGGGGATAAATTTGGGGGGAAGAAGAATGAAAAAAAGAAAATAATAATTTTTCGATCACACACACACAACTAATAATCATCACACACAAAAATTTCTTTCCCGTTATTTTATTAAATTAAATCCGGGAATTTATGTTTAAAATAAATATTTGGTTATTTTTGTTTTCGATTATATTTTGTTCAAAATTAAATGCTCAAGAAGAATGGCGAAATCAATGGCAACCTAATAAAGTAACTTTAAATGAACAAAGGAAGCATATTGGTTAGAAATTATTTGTTAAAAAATATTTGAGATTGTTTTTGCCTTACTATAAGATACCCCCTTGGAGCTGCTAAAATTGTATTCGGAACTAAGCTATCTTAAATTGAGGTCCCCGTTAGGCAACTTGCCTTACCTAGTGGTCAATCAACTCTTAGAAATGAACTTTAAATTGATGTTATCTATGTTAGATTATTAATGATAGCAGATTCGAGTAATCCAAAAAAATTTCTTCATGCAAACAGCTCCTCTATAAGCATTTTATTTATCCAAATATCTACTTAGTTAACTTAAAAATATGTATTAAACAAAATAAGAAATAATAAAATTTTAGATGTTGATACAAGGTGGTTAGACAGAGAATATAAAGAAAAGACTGGTCAAACTGTTCAAAAGGTTTTCAAAAATTACCTAAAAAGATTTTCTTCTTCAAAAATTAATTTTTTAAAGGTGGGCTTAGATGCTAGTAATAAAGAAAAAGCCATAGTAGATTTAATTACTGAACAAAAACAACTAAGTGCTTCAGCACATGGAAATGTAGCTATAGCAGAATCGAGTGTTCCTGGACAGAGAGCACAAGTCCAGAAATTTGGAGATAAAGGAGGGCTTGCACAAGTTGAAGGACACAGGCAAAATAAATTTAAAACAATTAATTCTATATTAAAAATGTGGAGGGGGGGAAGGAAAAGGGGTTTAGGAAGGCCAACTTATTGTCAGATATTAAGCAGAGGGAATTCCATCTGTGAGGGATATTCGAAGGAAAAGGGGGATTCAAGTAATTCCATTTTAGTGGGCAACTTCGAGTTAAAGAAGACGGAGAAGGCAAACATGCATTATTAAAAGCTGATGGTCAATACGAGTTGGATACTTTATCTAAAGGAGGAAAAGATGATAAAGATGGGGAAAAAGAATTTCAAGCACGTAATGATCGCTTCGATTTTCGATTAACGCCGGCTGAACAAAATGAGAAGCAAGGGCATGGATTGCTTTCTTTTGGGGATAATGTAAGTGGGCGAAGAATTTGATTTTTTAGATTAAAAATGAAAAATATTAAAGTCGTTTTTTGTCCTTAATTAACTAGTCTTCAAGAGCTAAATCCAAGGGCAAATATCGAAGACCTTGTGGAGAGAGAGCTCAAATCTCAGTGAGGTTTTTCTACCAAGCAAATTTTTGCCTAAGTTTTATTCCAACCAAAAAACACTTCAATCAATTAAATAAGTTTATTTCCAAAAAAAGCACAGCGTCAATACAGCAAAGAACAGTTCAAGAGAAGATAAAGGCCAAACAGAGTAAAGCTAACAGAGGAAGCAAGCTAAGTACCAAAGAAGCTCAAACAGAAAGAAGCTAATAGGGGTTTGGGGTGGGAGATTATATAGGCCAGAAAAATAGGCGGGTAGACAGAAAAATATTTCGATCATTAAAGGCATAATAGGAACGATTAGATAAAATGCACATATTTTGAATAATACAAAAGAGTGGAAAATTAAGTTAAGTTTTAGAACAAAAGGAGCTAAAAATGTAAACAGAGTTTGAATAGATGTTTACATAAAAAATGGTTTTTTAGAAGGTAAAAGTCCGAAAAAGGAATTTGCAATAAATGATGATTAATTTCGAAATAAATTAAAATTATAAAAATATATTTATTTTATTTTCCTCATCCTTAGTCGCTTCGCGACATTCCCGCCCGCGTCTGAAAGTTTCATCCTCAATTTCCTTTTTCCATCTTTCAAGTATTTTCTTTCTTTTCTTGATCTTCGGCACATCATCCATTGCACATTTTCTGCTCTCTTTCCGTGCATGTGTCCAGCCATCCATAACATTAACAAAGATGGCGAGAAAGGTCCAACTGGGGTTGATCGCAACAACGGTGGCAAAAATCGTTAAAGAAAGCCAAGAGCGGGTTTCAAGAGTCAATTCATTTTCCATCCTTCCATTCGTTTTACATTTCCAAAGTTTATTGGTTGCGTTAATAAACATCCTCAAAGCAGCTTTAGCGCCATCCAAGATCATAGCAAAAGCGACAAGGACAATCATGAACATTTTTATACCCATCCAGGGGCAGCAACAGGCATAGAAATCTGGTGGTTCCAGTCTTTCTAGTTGTAAGCATTTGTTACGGTAGACGTGCATTTCACGCTTGAGCTTATCATTTTTGACCAGCAATTCTCGATTAGTCTTCTGAAGGGAATTGATTCGCACTTGAGTCTCTTTCAGAATTCCTTTTCTCTTATCGATCTTTTTCGGATTAAAATCACCAATCTTCCTCGAATTAGCTTCATCTAAGAGAACTTTCAATCGCTTAGCTTTTTTGGATTCCTCCTCGGATTTTCTGCGTGCCAACATCAGCTCGGACATCAATTTCACTATCGTTCTATCTTTCTCTTGGAGAGCCTTTGTTTTTTCATCTAACAATTTTTTAGTTTCAAACATTCCAGCCTGCTTTGAACAATAATCATTGCTCTTCCGCATAGGTTCCAACATTTGGATTTTTGACACACGTGAATAGCAAACCATAAGGTGGTGCTTTCCTCGACATTTAATACATCGTCGATTCTTCCTGCAATCAAAGGTTCGATGGCCATCACTCAGGCAGTTTAGGCAACGGTTCTGCTCTAATAACTTGTATTTCCTCGCCTTTGGGCTGCTATACTTAGAACAATGGCTTGGAGGGTGGTTCCCTCTACATAATATGCACTTTAGGCAACGGTTTTGTTCCAGCAAACGATCCTTCTTGGCCTGAAGGTTGTTATGTTTCGGGCATTTGCTTGGTAGATGGGTTCCTTCGCACAATGAACAAAAGGGTTTCCTCGGTTGACTTGTAACCGGAAATGAACTGGTTTGCTCAGGGTTTGGCAGTGGGCGTCTGTCCCTTTGTGGGTGCCAATCAGGTTCCTTATTAACGCTACATTTCTGGACCTCTTCTTTGACTGAAATAAGTAGGTCAAGCTCTTTCCTCCACTTTTCGACATTCCAAGTTTGCTCGGCTACTCGTTCCTTTTCGATCAGTTTGGCAAGTATTCCTCTGGGCAATTTTTCTTTTATAGTGAAAACTATCCAAGAGTCATCGCTAATTCCGTAATCAGTCAATTGTCGGCATACTCTTTCAATTATGTCCAAAAATTTTCGCAATCCCATAACTGAATCATTAGCATGGGGTAGATGGTACAGCTCTGACTGTAACGACTCCTTGAGTGCTCGTTTGTCACCATATCGAGACTTCAGCAGCTTTACCACGCGTGGATAGTTTTCATTCGTAGGTAAGTATCCAGCCACCACATTCTGTACGGGCCTGTCCAACAGAGAGAGCAAATAACTCATTTTTACAACATTGTCATAGCTGGGCTCATTATCCACAGTTGACTCGAAAAGTTGCCAAAAGGTAGGCCAGTCTCTGGTTTCTCCCGAAAAATGAGGTAAATGCAAGGGAGGGAGCTTGGCACGTGGTTGCGCCATAAAAGGCTGTTGCAACTGTACTGTAGGCGGCTGCGGCCTTTGATTTCCTTGTGCCCTCCGATTTTGGTTTCCAAGGTCATTGGTTCGGTTATCTGACACTTCGCTCATTGCAGATTGGCGAGAACTGGTTCTAGATTGGCCAAGATCCTCCATGGTTTGCTCAATTAGCACAACCACTTGTCGGGCAAATTCGCACTGATCCACAAAATGACGTTGAGCTAACGGTACTTCCTGGCCTTCCTCTCTTTCCATACCAGCACCTCGGGGCGGAAAATCGAGGTATAGCGATTCCTCAGCCATTTTCTGCGGCCCTTCTAAGCTTGCCACATAATCACTCCATTGAGCATCCAATTCCTCAATTCTTACGATAGTGGTCTCGATATGGGCTTTTTCCAGCTTCAACTTTCTGCGAGTATCATCATCGTTTTCCTCAGCAATAATTCGATTGGCCTCGGCAGTATGCTCTTGAATGGTTTTCAAGGCAGCGTTCAGGTTTCGTCTAATTCTTCCGGACATTTGAACAGCACTTCCAAACCAAAATTAGAATCCAAGTAGCAAATTGAAGGCGGCCTGGTTCCCGGCCGTTGCACCAAAAAATATGTGGAGGGAGAGCTCAAATCTCAGTGAGGTTTTTCTACCAAGCAAATTTTTGCCTAAGTTTTATTCCAACCAAAAAACACTTCAATCAATTAAATAAGTTTATTTCCAAAAAAAGCACAGCGTCAATACAGCAAAGAACAGTTCAAGAGAAGATAAAGGCCAAACAGAGTAAAGCTAACAGAGGAAGCAAGCTAAGTACCAAAGAAGCTCAAACAGAAAGAAGCTAATAGGGGTTTGGGGTGGGAGATTATATAGGCCAGAAAAATAGGCGGGTAGACAGAAAAATATTTCGATCATTAAAGGCATAATAGGAACGATTAGATAAAATGCACATATTTTGAATAATACAAAAGAGTGGAAAATTAAGTTAAGTTTTAGAACAAAAGGAGCTAAAAATGTAAACAGAGTTTGAATAGATGTTTACATAAAAAATGGTTTTTTAGAAGGTAAAAGTCCGAAAAAGGAATTTGCAATAAATGATGATTAATTTCGAAATAAATTAAAATTATAAAAATATATTTATTTTATTTTCCTCATCCTTAGTCGCTTCGCGACAGACCTATAGACTGAGTTATAAAGGCTCAAAGGGATTTTTAACTTTTTATGTAATTCCCAAAAAATAGCTTGCGATATGTATATGTTCCTTAAAGAAAGTCTAGATTGCAGTTATTCCTACCCAATTCGCCCACCACGTACCGATTGAGATACCAGGACGGTAACCTGCTTTCTCTCTTATAAAACAAGCCAAATTCTAGCCAAAAAAATAATTTAAAGGAAAAAGGCAAAAAAGGCTCATACGAATATGCAATAGTACACAAAGACAAAAATCATGTCGAAGCCCAACTTAGTTCCAAAGATGCTTATTCTAATAGAAATGATTTATTGGGCTCTTTATTTGGACGAAGATCCGAAAAATATTTTTGTACAGGTAAAAATAGTGAAATTAAAGAAAGGGCTAACATTAAATTTAAGCGGAAACCCCCGGAGTTTCTCAATGTTATGATGCACAAGGGAGAAGTGCTGGTAAGGTTGTTGCTGATAAAAATGGAAATGCTGTTGTTTATAATGAAAAAGATGTTCCTATAGGTGGAAAATAAATATTTTTAGGACAAAATAAATTTTATTTACAGGAACTGGATCTGTAAGGAAAGTTTCTGAAAGAAATTATGAGGTAAATAAACTTCTTAAAATTTACCTCAGTTGAATTAAAGAGCTTAAATCCCAATATGTATAAGGGACCCGTTTTTAACAAAGGAAAAGGTCAACAGTTTCCAGCTGGTGTTCGTAGAGGTTAGTATGAGGACCTGATTAACGTTGAAACTTCCAAAAAAGTATGATCACTTTCCTAGTATTCCTCGGGGTTTGGCTCTACAAACATAAAGAATGAGGGTACTTTTTCTAATTCTGGAATCAATTTAAGGCAGTAATCAGCAAAAATTTATTTATTACACGGTTAAAAGATGCACGTAGAGGGCCTTGTTGTAGAGAATTTACTGGCCATGATTGTGTTGAACAGATAAAATTAGCCAATCCACAATTTAGCCATCCACAAGAGAGGGATGAAAATGGGAATTTACATTTAACCTGGTTTTTAATTTAAATATAATTTTCTTAAAATTAAAAAAATATAGGCCAGAATGTTTTGATATGTCTATTGATGTTACACTTCCGCATAGTATGTTTATATTTATGAAAACCTAAAATCATATCTCCTGTTATAAGAGAAGGGGGAGATAAGGACATTTATTATTGTCTCTAATAAAGGGAAGATCGGAGGAAGGTATTCATGATAAAAGGAGTGAAAATTCTTTGTTAACAATATAAACAGTTACATAGGGGGTATGTGAAATAAAGAGTATTCGAAGAGACCAGCATACTCACACTACTTTAATAACAGTTTATTTAAAATTTAGACCATAAAAAAGAAGTTTTCCATTAAATAGAGGTTTTTTCATAAAAAGTTTTCATAAATATTTTTTAAAGATGTACATATTAACCGTTTGGCAATGAAATTAGATGTACATATACAGCCTATAGGGAAACTTAGATGCATGGATGTGGCAACATGCGGCAGAGAATGTTATTATTGTGATTGGTGTAGAGGAAGCAGGTGTGTGTTTTACCATTAGGGTTATTAACACAGCCTATTAAAACTTGAGTGTAAGAGTTTTAACCTGCAATCAACAAAAACTTCCCGTGTCCAGTTTTGGTCTAGGAAACTGAATGGACTAGAACAAAAATTCAGGTCTTGCCCAATTCAATCTACATAATATACAAAAATAAATTAATCATTTTATTTATAAACATCAATTCGTAGTTTAATCAGCGTCATATTTTGATTAGAATTCAATTTTTGGAGTTGGAGGTAGTTATTTACCCCCTTAAATTATTACCCCTATTAATATTGCCCCCTTAAATTGAAGAAATTTTATTAACAAAATTTTCAAAATTCTTTCAGAAAATTAAAATTATTGGAGAGAACTGACGGAAATCTGTGTAGAGCAACAGAAGAGAGGACTTATCGTTTAACAACAAAATTGTGCCCTCCCCCAGAAGATCCAAACTTTACTTTATGTACAACATTTACTAAAAGTGTTTGGCAAAAAGATTATTGGCAAAAGGAGGGAGCTTTGGATATTTGGATGAAATTTTATGAAAGGGCTGAAAATAGGGCTGAATTGGAACACGAATTTTTCTCTCAGTTGGATAATCCTCTTTTGGGGAAAGCTTTTAAATTGGCGATTATTGGGGAGTGGTTAGCTGCTAATAGTTTGGACGTAAAAATTAATTTTATTAAAATTGGGATATTGTATTTCTTGAAATAGCGCCCCTCTCCTCTCTGAATTAAAGCACTACACACCCCAATTAGAGCCCCTAGTTACAGACTTCAGGAAGTACGGTAGTTTCGTTTTCTATAAAATCCCGCGACATATAAAGATGAAATAGTATGTAGAAGTCTCTTATAGCGGGAGTCGCCACTATTGATTATCAAAAATATCTTAGGCCTCGTCTGGCAAAATGATATATTCGCTAAACAAGAGTTGAGATTAATTGATATTGCCCGTGAACTTAAGCTTAACTTATTAACTTAAGCCAAATTTACTTCTGAAATTAAAAAAATTTTTAAAATTTAACAGCAAGGCAGTTACACACCTACAAACTCTGAATTACTCGAATTTTGGGTATCGAGGCGTGCACCCGACAGACTTTTGGCCTGCGATCATGCTGTTATAGACTATGAATTGGAAGGTTCTAAAGTAAAAACTAACGTTCTTTTTGAAGCTGCTACAACTGCTGGGAATGTAAAAGAAATTTATTTAAAAAAATTCTTTTGAAAATTCTTCTTTTTCAAGTTACCAAATATATTCAAAGACAAAAAGTGTCAACAATTTGAAAATTTACAAGAAGAACGTTTTCAACAAGGAGTGCGCGAGTATAAACAGAAAAGTGGGGGTGGTACTGGAAATATATTAAGTGGAATTGGAAATTTATTTAGAGGAAAATGAGGCGAATTAAAGGAAGCTTATGGATATTTAATTATAATATTCAGAATTATTTTAATATTTATTTGAATAATTTTAATTAATCTAAAAACTAATTATCTCAATTAAAATGAAATATAACAAACACGAAAGGACAGAGGAAAAGCTCCTTAGTTTATGATTCTCATTATTTCTAGTGTCAGTATTAGTGATCGGACCGTCGGTCCTTTTGGGTATCGCTATTCCGATCTGTATTACAGTACGGAATTTTAAAAAAAACAAACAAAACGCCAGAAAACCCAAAAAATTTTTAAAACTACGAGCACAACTACAAGTTACATATTTGAAAAATACCAGGGAACGTGTTAAACAGACTAAATAAAAAATTTTAATTTAAAACAATTATATATTTTCTTTCCCAATTTAATTTACTTTTCTGATTTAAAACTTTTTTTTTCATTTTCTTCTATTTATTTACTAGAATTTTTCCTCCAATTCAATGACCAATCTTTTCCGGTTTTCCTTCTTTTTGATGGGGATGACCACTTCCTTCCCCTTGATGATGTTCCTCTACCTTTTTAGGGCTTCCAGGTTCCTTTTTGGGGCTTCCGTGGTCTTTTACATGTTCCTTTTTAGGGCTTTCGTGTCCTTTTTTGGAGCTTCCATGTTCCTTTTTAGGGCTTTCATGTCCTTTTTTGGGGCTTCCGTGATCCTTTCCATGTTGTTCCTCATGTTTAGGTCCTTTATCTTTCGGATGATCCTTTTGATGATGTTCTTCTCCTCCAATAGGTTTCATTGTAAGGGCTTTCTTAGCTTTTAAATCTTCCTTTTTCTTCCCAAATAAGTCTTAAATTGGATAAAAAATTAATGAAACTAGAAATTAAATACTTTTTAAAGCATTCAATCTTCCACCAATCCATCTAACCGGTGCGAAAATTGGATGATTCGCCACAGTTTCCGACAATTTACGACCGAAGTTATTAAAATGATCCTTAATGCTGGGTTTACGCACCATTTGATGATTGTCCTTCATCTTTTAAAATAATATAAATAAAGTTTTTACAGTTGAACCTTACTATAAGGAACCCCCATTAGGGGTGTTAGGGATGTCACGGACTACTCGAAGCTCGGATCAGAACCCTTGTTGAAGAAAATTTTTAAACCCAGAAAACCTTTCCACGAGTATACCTCGATTTAAGATACGAATTTTTTTAAACTTCCACTGGGTGGAGTAGCTGTCTAGCCTATACCCCCATTAGGGATGTCACGGATCTTCATTTTTCTTCCCAAATAAATTTAAGGAATCTTTTAACCAATTTAAGGAATCTTAAGGTACGATTTCTTCAGCCCTAAAGGGTATCTGAAGGTGAGGGAAAAATTTGAATAGAAATTTAATTAGGTAAAAGAAAAATTTCCTGTTTACATACTGGAGTGGGATGTGAAGGAAGAGGAGAAGAATGCGGAGTAAGAGGAGAAGAAGGTGGAGTATGTAGTTTTTCAGGTGTCTTTTCTCCTCCATCATTCTTAGGCTTCTCTTCAATTTCAGATATTTTTGCTTCCGTAATTTCGTCACCTCCACTCATTTGTTGATGATGTGCAACGTGAGGAGGAGAGGGAATTTTCTCAGTTACAACGGAATGTTTGGGAGAATAAGCTAGAAAAATAAATTATAAAAAAATAGTTCACACTCCTTATAAGGCCATACAAACAACTATTTTAACTTTTTAGAAGGCCTTCTCCTTAAGCCTATAGGTATGTATCGTGTTTTGTTGTAATACGGATCCGACTGTTCCGAAATCCTAAAATTCGTAATGGAGTTTCGTCCTGACCAGAATGTTGCATAGTACCAATTATGTTTTGGAATGGGCTTTTTACCGCTGGTTCCATTCCATCTCCCATCTTTTTGCAGGTGAGAAAGCATACCAATTCAAAAATATACCACTATACCTTTATTCTCACGAATATCATGGGAAAAACTTGCTGACAATTTTTCAGATTTTAGAGGTGAAAAATCTTCAGATTTTTGAGATAATTCGGGCAAACTCTTTGCCTTTTTCATTCCTTTACTTTTAAGACCATCATCCCCTTCATCTAGATGTTTCCACTTTGGAACTACCAAACCATAGTCTAGAGAATTTAATTATCTTGCTATATAAAAATTTAATAAAAATCTCACTTTTTTCAAGTTCTTTTTTAAGTTCTGACGAGCTAAGTCGAGGAGGGGTAAATTGAGGACTCTCTGGTTCTTCAAACTCATTGTCAGAGTTTTTTTCGGTTTTTGTTGACGAAACACTTGGTGACTTTTCAATTTGTTTTCCTTTATTTTTCCTTGATTCTTCATCAGAAGGTAAATACGGTTCATAACTTGCTTGTAAATCTTCTGAACTTTCCGAGTCGTCAAACTTTTCTGGTGAGCTTTTTGGACTCGGATGTGGAGAAGTTGTTTTTGGCGATGAGTGTTGCGGTAAATCCTCATCCAAACTAAATACTTCGCCGATCTCTTTTTGAAATTTTTTAAAACTTGAATGTGGGGAAGCTGCTTTTGGCGAGGATTGTTGTGGTAATTCTTCATCAGAACCTTCCGAGTCGTAATTTGCTTTTGGAGATGATTGGTGTTCCTCGATGTATTCCTCTAAATCTCCCATCTTTCTCGGTGATTTACTTGGACTCGAATGAGGAGAGGTTGCTTTTGGAGATGATTGTTTTGGCGATGAAGGGTGTTCCTCAACATTATCTCCCCCAAATTCTTCACTTTCTTTTTCCAACTCAGGTTCTACCATATCATATTCATTATCAGCTTCAGTAATATTAGAAGGCTCTTCTAAAAATTATAAAATATTTTTGAAATTTAAAAATTATTTTGTTATTTAATAGTCGATTTCTGAATCCCCGTTCCAAAAAAATCAGACAGAATTTGTCAAGATTTTTATATAATCCTCACCCTTGTCCAAAACGTCTTCCTCTACTTGAACATCGCTGGGTTCGGGCATTTCTTTTTTGCTTGATCCATTAGATGAAGATTTGGACGATGAAGAGGAACTACTTGGAGAGCGAGAAAGCACCTTCTCCTCTTCGCCTTCAATAGGCACATTTTTCACATCTTCCTCCTCATCATCACCTTCAATTGGCACATCCATAATTACAGAATGGCCATCACTGGACGAGCCATTTCCTTCTTTTTTAGGGCTCTCGACAGCTCCCTCTCCAGTTGGAGCATTATCCACACCTTCCATAGCCATCACTTTCTCAACAGTAAAGAGAAATCCGAACACAAGAAGAAGCAAAAAGGGGGAAAGATTCGTGCGATTTCCGCGGTTTTGCTTTGAGCGAAACATTCTGAAAAAAAAATATTTTTTAATTAATAAAGAGACGAGAAGAAGACTGAATTAAAGGGTAAAGGAAGCGGCTATTTATTCACTCCTGATCCCCCACTATTGATATTCACGTGATAGTCAAAATATACACTTTACTCCTCAAAATCTTGTGAAATCTATTGCCGGAAAATAAATTAAAAGGGCAAGTGAGATGCCGACAAAAACAAAATTTTTAAAAAGAATTTCACAATAAATGTTTTGGCAATTGCACTTTATTATTTATTTATTTATTTTTTTATTAAATTAGAGTAAAGGGAGACCGAAATTTCAAAAACCTTAACCGTGGTATCTAAGAAACCTGTAATCATGTCCAGAACCGCCCCTAAAACCCGTACCACGGCACCGTAATTAATTTCTTAATTCTGGCACTCAATCGGTCATTTAGGATGGACACTCAACAGCAGCTATCAACTGACCAAAAGCGTTGAGAAGGCGCGGGATTATTGAGTCCCGCCGGTTGAATCCCAGTGCCATATTTTGGGCTATAACTTTCTGGTTTTTCAACAGATTAGAATAAATCTTTTGTCTTTCGAAAGCCCTGGATGTGAGGATTTTTTATTTCGAAGATGGTTTATAGGTTCGTTATTCTTTAAAGTTTTATTTCAGTATTTATAATATAAACATGTTTGGATTTCCTTCGGCACCGACGACTACAGCTTCTTTATTTTCTACAACATCAGCAGCCCCATTAACAACTTCTAATTTATTCTCGTCGGCACCGGCTACTTCGGCTTTTATGTTTTCTACAGCGTCAACTGCACAATCGACAGCTTCAAGTTTATTTGGTGGAGCAATAAATAAGGCACCGACGACTACGGCCTCTTTGTTTTCAGCGGCCCCATTAACAGCTTCTACATTATTTGGTGGTGCACCACCGACAACTACCGTGCCACTGTTTTCGGCACCAGCGACTACGGCTTCTTTGTTTTCTACAACGTCAGCGGCCCCCCTGACAACTTCTAATTTATTTGGCAGTGCACCAATTACATCTTCGGGTAATACTTTTTTAGTAATACTTTGGTTTAGACCGCCTATTTTCTGACCATTTTGAGCTTTTTTGTCTGACCTATAATTTTTTATATATCATTCGAAAGAGATCTTTGAGCTGGGTCGAATGATAACAAGATAGGTTAGATTTGTTGATTCTGAGTAAAATTGTGGAGCTAGATCCACGCTGGAAGAACTTTTTTGTTGCCAGGTGACTTACATCAGCTCGAAGCCTCTTTCGAAAGATTTTGCAAATTCTTTGCTTTCGAAAGAATTTGCCATAAAAATAGAAAGATGACGCAAAGAGAAACAGGAAAAATGGGCGTTATAAACCAAAGTATTACCCATCTTTTTTTTTCAGCGGCCCCATTGACAACTTCCAGTCTTTTTGGCGGTGCACCAACGACAACTTCTGGGTCATTGTCTTTTTCTTTGGCACCGGCCACTACGGCTTCTTTGTTTTCTACGCCAACGGTTCCATCGACAACTTCTACTTTATTTGGTGGGGCACCAAATAAGCCACCTGCGACTACGGCCTCTTTGTTTTCAGCGGCCCCACTAACAGCTTCTACATTATTTGGTGGTGCACCACCGACAACTACCGTGCCGCTATTTTCGGCACCTGCAACTATGGCCTCTTTGTTTTCTACAACGTCAACGGCCCCAACGACAACTTCCAGTCTTTTTGGCGGTATACCACCGACAACTTCCGCGCCATTATTTTCGGCACCTGCGACAACGGCCTCTTTGTTTCCTGCAATGTCGTCGGCTCCAATTACAACTTCAACACTTTTTGGTACACCGACGACAACTTCTGTGCCATTGTCTATACCTTCAGTTCCTGCGACTACGGCCTCTCTGTTTTCGGCGGCCCCAATGACAACTACTTTATTTGGAGGTGCACCAACGACAACTTCCATGCCGTTAACTTTTTCTTCGGCACCTGCGACTACGGCCACGTTGACAACTTCTTTATTTGGTGGTACAACTTCATTGCCATCAACCACAACTTCTGCTCCATTATTTGGTATTTCTTTAAATTTACTTAAAGATAGTTTAGAAACATTAGGCACCTAAGAACATTTGGTACTTTTCCGTTCTGCCACACCCCCCTAAATTAATGTTTAAAATGTCATATATGGGGTAAAAAAAGGTGCTGAATCGAACAGTACAACTCTTTTTCCCCGGAGATGCCTTTGGACCAAAATATTGTGCTCGAAATGGTCAAAAACCATAGGGGGAGTAAGTTCAATTTTGTGATAAGAAATTCGAATATGCAAATAATATCCCATTCGAAAGAGCTCATGGAGCTGAGTCGAAAGACACCAAAATCACCGCGGTCTAACAAGTTTAAACCAAGTTACGATACAAAAATGTGTGTGGTTCTTCAATTTTCAGAGACCTGTATCTCGGTCAAATCAAATCAGATTTTGTTAATTTTGTGTTTTTCGACTCAGCTCCATGAGCTTTTTCGAATGAGGTATTATTTAAATATTTAAATTTTTTATTTCAAAATTGAGCTTACTCCCCCTATGGTTTTTGACCATTTCGAGCACAATATTTTGGTCCAGAGGCATCTCCGGGGAAAAAGAGTGGTACTGTTCGATTCAGCACCTTTATTTACCCCATATATGACATTTTGAACATTAATTTAGGGGGGTGTGGCAGAACGGAAAAGTACCGAACATTTTTTTAAATAAATCCACCCTCCCAACGATTTACTGCCGAGGCTAGTTTACTGTTAGGTCGTCCCACTCTGAATTTTTTTCTTTTTTTTGTGTATCTAGTTTTTAAGTTGTACAAGTCTGGTTGTCTTATTTTTATCACTCTTTAGGTACTTCTGTGACTACTACAACCATGCCTTCTACGGTTGGGCCTGTTCAGCAGCCCAAAGTGCCCAATTTCCGTGATCTTTCAACAACTCTTTTACGTATGCGAATGGATTTTGAACAACAGGAGAAGCAATTCCTTGACGAAGTTGATGATTTGAATACTTTTGATGTCGTTTTGCGTAAAGCTCAAGACAAGGTTGTTAAAATAATTTTTTGTTTATTTGCCCAATTTTTGATGCCTCCGGAAACTAAATTTTATTTTTATGCGCCCAAAAATTTTTTGGAGGAATTTTCGGCACATGGGCCTGCAAAAGTTAAATTCTTTTAATTTTTTTAGTTAATCGATGTAAAAAAGGATGTTGACGAGCTAGAACAAGAAAAGGATAGATTTTGTTGGGAAATTGACATTCTCGGTCAACAACAAGAAGAGCTAGAACAAGTTGTTAAATCATTCGAAAGTCAATTTAATTTGCCGACTCAGCAAGATTCTACAATTATTGGGGGATCACAGGTTTTTTAAACATTTTTCGGCATTCTTTCGTTTATTACATTTGGTTTTATTTTAGTGGTTATTTTTTGGATTTGGAAGCATTATTTCGAAACTTGCGAAAAATGGGTCTGGGGGTTTTCAGTTTATTAGTGCGATTTTTGGGTCATGTGGGCATGATTCCTGAAATTGACTAATAACTGACCAAAAATGTGCTAATAAGTAAGCGGGTATCTCCAGACCCTTATTTCTCGAAACCAAAACTATCAAACACAAATGTGGTCACCCAAACAAGAATAAATAAAACCAAAAGAAGGCCTTTTTTTCCCTTTTACATTTATATTTTAGCTTTTTGCCAATTCTGATAGTGCGACACCTGCAGATGTTCAACGAAAAAACATGTATTTTTTTTATTAAAAGAGACTTTCTGATCATTTTAAATTTTGTAGTTTGCAGTTACAAATTAATATTAATGCACAATTGAAACTTTTAGACGACGAAGTTGGGAATCTTTGTGGACAGGTTTATTTTTACTTAACATTTATTCTAATTATTTTTTTTTAATTTTTAGATTTCGGATCTTAAACGTATTGCCGGTCTTTCTTCATCAACTATTGCAGAGGATGATCAAGAGAAAGCAGAGGAACTTGAAAATCGTTTAACTTCAGTTGATCAAATTCGTCAGATTTTGCGTTCGCAATTGGAGAGTCTTATTTGGGTGGATAAACATTCTGGTATTCTTCAAAATTATTTTTTGTTTTAAACTTTTCACCTATCGATAATAAAAGGAATTTGCGGTTTTGTGTCTTACGAACCGACATTTGCATATCAAAAATTTACTATATTTTTTAATTATTATTCGAATAATTTTTTTATAAATAGAATTTCAAGTCAATAAAATTTTATTATTTTTTTATTAACTTTGTAGAAGATTTTTAAATAATGTATTGAATCCGCAAATGTCGGGTGAAAATGAGGATGCGCAAATTTCAGTTTCCCACTTCCATAGTTCTAGTTTCAACCTTCCAAGGAGAAGACACAAAGTTTCTCTTGAACTTCCTTAATCAAGAAAAACGGGGGAATAAGAGATGTGAATTTTTATTTAAAAATATTATTTTAGATGCATTACTTGAACGTGTTCAACGTGCTACTTCTGATATTTTAACTTTACAATGAGGTACATAAATTTTTTTTCAATTATTATCTCAAAACATAAATGTTTTAATTTATGAATATTTTCTTTTTCTTAGAGCCCGTCTTGATTTTATTTTTTCATTATTTTATTGAAAAAATACCTTGAACCCTGCCGGGCTCTAAATTCTATTTTTGGTTTATTTATTTGGATCTACCAATTTTATTTTTTTTTGTTGATAAAAATATGAAAGGATTTTTGAAGTATAGTTTCCATCCCTGCTAGCTAAAAATAAAAATAATTTTTTTTATTTTTAGAGAAAAAATATATATTTTTTATGCAAAAGAGTTGTCGTGCTTGCTTTTTTGCAAATATTAAGGATTAGACGATTATATATAAGAATATATATTTATTTTTATTTTTACTCATCCATGTAAAAATAACCACGAGAGTTTTTTGTTTGTATTCTCGAATAGTTTTTGGTGCAAATATCGAATGATTTTTAGTCTTTTTGTGTGTGGTTAAACTAGAAAATTGTTGGGGGGACTTTAATTTTTATTTTTTAAAAATATTCCTAAAAATAAAAATCCTGGAGTGGAAAAATAAAAAAAAATTCTGAAAAACTCCAAAAAATTTGAATATTTAAATAATCATTTTCTATACTAAATAATATTCAAATATTTGAGGATTTAAATAAAATTAAAAAAATTAAAAAAAATTTAATTTGGACAAAACTATCAAAAATCTAAATTTGCTAGGCAACCCTTTAATAAAGAGAATAATAATTTATTAGATAAATTAAATTAAGTTTTAATAAATTAAATTCAAGTTTAAACTTAAAGTTTATAAATAATTAAACTTAAGTTTACAACTTAGACTAAACTTAAGTTTGCAAACTTAAGTATTTCTATAATCTTATTTTAATTTTTTATTTTACTTTTAATTTAAGTAAAGTAATTTAATACTCAAGTAAACAGATTAATTTTGGTAATCTTTTATAAAAATACTAAATATTTAGTTCATTTTTTGATTCTAAAGGAGAGAACGATAACAAAAATATTAATATTTAACAAATAATAATTCAACATATCCAGTTCTTTTAAACGATAGACAACAACTAACAAAGCAATAATAATTATTTTATTATTGACAATTTGTCAATCAGAGCACATGGGGGCCTCTAATATATTATTTTGTTATAGAATTATTATTATTTTTTTCTAACTTGCTCCCTCAGTTGTTGGCTGTTTTTCACTTTTTTTAGTAGTTAGTAGAAAATATAATATTCAATTGCATCCATTGCCTTTTAGTTTTTTGGTTGTTTGCATTTCCTCTTACACTCATTGAAGATTTTTTCTGCATTTTTTTTATTTTTACTTAAATTGATTTTTCTTAAAACCATTTGGAACCAATTTTCGCATGCTTATAGCACAGGGCTTCGATTTCTGCGGATTTTTCCTCATTTTGTGGTTTTTTGATAGGGCGATGAGGATTATTTTTTAAAATGCGGATTTGCGGATTTTTGTGGTCTTTTGAAGATTATGAGGATTTTTTATATTTTCTTGTAGTTTTTAGGAAAAAATGTCATTTTTTTCTCTTAAAGCCTTCAAAAATCCTCAAAATTTTCGCCTGCGGCGCAGAAAAGGACGATTTTTAGCTTAAGGATATCCAAAATTCAAAAAATTTTCGCCTGCGGCGCTGAAAATGGAAGAAAGCTGGCTTCTTTGTCTTCAAAAATTTCCAAAATTTTTGCTTGCGGCGCTGAAAAAGGACGATTTTGGCTTCATGGCCTTCATAAATCCGCAAAATTTTTGCCTGCGGCGCAAAAAAGAAGATTTTTCCAGTAAACAATTCACTACAACAAGGGATGTGAAAACATTGGCTCAAGTAAACTGTAATTTTTCATTTAATTGTCCGGATTTTAATAAGATAGTCATTAGTAGTGAAAAAACTGCTCAAATCAATTGTTAGAGAAAAAATTAAAAAAAAAACGCATAAAGTGATTTTAATTCAATTTTTGTGTTTGATAATTTTCTGCGGATTTTTCATATAAAATGCGGATTTTTTCGATCGAAATTGCGGATTTTTAAAAATTCGAGATCGAAGCCCTGTTATAGCAGAAGAGTATTTTTTGAGCAATTTAACTAAAACTTGGATAGCCCCTACTTAAGGGTAATTCATTCATGACTAACACTAAACTTAAATAATAAATAGAGCATAAAACTTAAGTTTGTAAACTTTTAAGTTTGGAACTTAAGTTTATTAAATTGTTAAAAAAATAAACTTGAAGGAAAACTTAAGTTTACAAATCTTGTGAATTAAGTATATGGATGTTGGCTGTAGTTAAGTTGGAAAGTGTTATGTTTCACTGTTTTTAAATCCTTAAAGGTTTCAAGTTCGACCCTACTATTAGGAAAATTTTTTTTCTTTGATTAAAAAATTATTTTAACAAAACTAAGAATTTCTAAAAATTATTCTTTTATCAATTCTGGCTCAATTTTTTATTTTTATTTTTTTATTATTTTCCTCTCAAGTTGACATTTTTAATTAAAATAATAATTATTTCGATCATTTTTTGATTGTTCAAATTGATCAAATTTTGTGTGATTAATCATACGATTAATCATTTTGCATTCTATTTTTAAATTAATATTTATGGGAATTAAAAAGAATATTTTTTAGTATAATTTTTTAAAAGAAACAACAAACAATTAATTACTTTTTTCAATTATGGCCTTATTCCAATAAAAATTAATAAAAATTAATTTAAATTAAATTAACCCTCTTATGCCAAAAAATTAAAAAAAATTTATTTCCAAATGCGCAGCACAAAAGAGTTAAGTCAATGGCTAGAAGCCTGTGGACTTAACCAAACCCCTTGGGCTTCTGATCCAGCCGATTGGGCAACTTTATTAAATTTATTAACGAGATTGTTACATTCTACGTTGGAACTTAGGTTTTAATTTTTGAAAAAGGGAATGAATTTGAAAATTAAAAAAATTAAAGGATTAATGCTGAAGAAGAGAAAAAACGAAAAGAAGCAATAAAAAATAATGAAAATCAGGAGGATGAAGATATTAATGAAAGGGAGGAATCAGAATCTACTTCACGCCCGGAAGAAGGAGAAGAGGACCATCAAAAATTATTGAGAAGTCCGTCAACGGTATATCCGGGCACTCAATTGCCGTTTCAGGAGGTATCTGATTTTGTGATGTTGAGAGCTGGTTAAAAAGGAGAATATGGGGATTTATATTGTCTGGAAAAGGGACAAAAATATTTGGATAAAATTTTAATTAGATCAAAAGGTTCATGTAATGCATTAGAAAAATTCACAGTAAGGAGGAAAATTAATAAGTTCAAAAATCCAATGTAAGATTGAAAGACTCATAATTTGGGGTTTTCTCAGATAATAATTTTATTGGTAAAAAGTCTTTCTGTTTATTTGACATTAAGTTATTGACACAAAGTTATAATTAAACTTAAGTTTATAATTTTATTAAACTTAAAGTGGGCAAGGATTTATTTGAATAAAATTTGCATTAGGTTAAAAGGTTCAAGTCTCGATCTCGGGTCCCACAAACTATACCGATCCCTTTTGATTTTAATGAAAATTTTGTTTATTAGAATTGAAAAAGTTTTTAATAAAATTTAAGGCCCTAGAACTTGCAGAAAAAGTTTTGGGAGTTCCTCAATTTACTGTGATTGCAGATATGAAAAAAAGTTTGGCTGAAGATCAGCTAGCACTTTTTGTTTCCTTTTGTGCTTTGAGATATGCTGTTGAACATGTTGATACTAGTTGGGAATTTTTTTTTGAAAAATTGAAAATTAAAAAATATTTAAGAGCCTATACATGATTTTCAATTTACTTTTCGTATTTATTTTAATATGGATTTGGATGGAAGTAAAAGGGAATGTAATACTTGTGGTAATATTGTTCACCTAATTGAAAGGTTGATAAATTGAACTGAATTTAAATTAAAAGAAATTTTAATTTAAATACTTAAATATTGAAAATTGAAAAAATTTTTGTAGAAAATTAAAAAATATTCATAACTTTGAAAATTTTAATTCAAAATTAGAATGTTCTCCTCGTTAAAAATTATTACTAATTTTAGTAATAATATTCAGAGGATATGAACAATGCTTGTAAATTTCAGACTATTTAATTTGGAAACTATAAATTAGAATTCCCTTATTTAATTTTCAGTCAGAATTTAATCATTCAAATTCATAAGGATCCAGTCTTCTATAATAAATCTATAATAATAATCAATCCCAAAAAGTCTAATCTTCTGTAACTCTCTAAAATAAAAATTATTAAGAAACTTAATAATAATTTATTTAAGAGTAACTCTAATTGGACGTATTTGGCATAGAGCTTGTTTAAAATGCTCTTTGTGTGGTCGACAACTTTATAGGGGTTTTAAAAATTTTAAATTATTTAAATTAATTTGAAAAAAAGGTGCTTTTTATTTACTTCATTTTTCCGATGCCTCAATACGTTTGGAATGTGTGGAACATGGAGCTAACGCTATTTTGTATGGGGACCCTAAAGTATATTTTGAAAAAATATTTTTAAAAAGATATGTAGGAGGATAAAGAATACCATTCAAACTAAATATTTCCTGAATTAAAAGGATAACAGAAATAATTAGATATTAAAAATATAGGTAGGGCCGAAACGATCCCGAACAAAAATCTCGTTTATTGAAATCTCGTATGACAACACCAGGTTTGGTCCCTAATTGAAGACTATCAATTATTTTTGAGCCCTGAATGTTCTCGGTTCCTGAGTGTTCCAACTTTTTGACTGTTTTACTCTTACGAGAACCAGTCCCATGGACTTATGCCTTTTTTAATAATTTCTTAAAATTTTTTCAGCACAGACTAGCATTACCACCACCTTTACCTCCTCCACTTCCAATCACTTCTTCACGTTTATCATTTATTGGATCAGAAAATATGTTAAATAAAAGAGCCTCCTCACTACTTTCTTTGTCTTCGCCTCCTCCCCGGCCTCCACCTCCACGTCTTCCAAGTATAGATGCAGTCAAAAAACAGACTAAATCAAACATATCAGAAGAAAAAGATTTAAAGGTTTTTTTAAAAAAAGTTTCTAGGAAAAAAAATTTTTTAAAGGATACTTCTACTTCAAAAGAGGAAGAAGAAAGCATTGAAAGCAAAATTGCTTTAGCCGCGGCTGCGTGTCATGATGCTCCGATCCCTAAACCTCGTGTATCGTTGCAACAAGCCTGTAATAAACAACAGCAACAAAAAAATGGGGAAAAGACTTGGGAGGTTAAAATAAAAAATAAAAAAACTATTCCCTCGGTTAGTCTTAAGAGATGAGGAGAATCTGTAGAGAGAGGGTATTCGAAAATTTTAAAAATAAGCGAGACTTGAAAAATCATATATATTAAAAGTCGGGACGTGGATCCATTAATCTTTATATCGAAAAGATAGAATATGTTTGTGGGATAATGTGAATTTAATTTGGGAACACATACATATACTCTCCAGAATTATGCATACACTAAAATACTAAACTTTTTTTGAAATTTTGAGGAAAACTACATAGAAGGTTTTTTCAGCTCTGAGTGGGTATCCTTATAATAAAGTTGAGAATTGTATAGTAATTTTTTTCATTTTGTCAGAATTTAAAATTTCTTTAATAATTCCAACCAAAATGTAGATATTGGAATACCCTTCAGAATTAAACCCATTTGGTTCTGATGATGAAGAAGATGAGGCAGAAGAAGAAAAAGATGAAGACAAATCTCTTAAGGAATCCAAAGAATCTCAAAAGGAAAATTGTGATAAAAATGGTAAAGAGACCGAGAAAAGGCCAATTTCTGTTGTTAATCCATTTGATGATACTGATGAAGAGGAGGATTTAAAGGAAAATGAAGAAATGAAGGAATCTTTATCTTGGTGAGAAAATTGATTGATTTATGGTTTTATTATTAAGATTTAATTCGCGACGGAAAGATTGATCAGATTAAGAGTTTTGAGTGTGATTATGAAGTGCTCGTAAAAAGCAGAGAACAAAATTTTGATTTAGAACCCGAATTACGTTCTAATAACATTAAATGTAAGCCTACACCTGTTAGACCCTCTAAGGGAGGAGGGGATTCTAAGGAGAGCCTTTGAATAATGTTGCTACTTAGAAAAAAATTCCAAAACAATATAAAGTCGAAATTAACCTCGACGAAAAGAACAAACATCTTGTTATAATGAACTTTCTCTTTTGTTTTCTGAGTTCGTTATATCAAAGTTAGATTGTGTTATATTTAAAAATAAATTGTATATTTTTAGTTCACCTTTGCCCAAGATTGAGGAAGAAAAATCTAAAGAAGAAGAATCAAATCCTCATTCACCTAATAATCCTTTCGATAAAAGCGATGACAAAACTGAGGAGGAAGAAGAAAAATATTCTCCAAAAGTTAAGCAACGCCAACAACAAAATATTCATTCACCTCCCCCACCTCCCCTCCCACCTTCTTTTACACCTCAAAATCGCCCTACAAGTGAAATTATTTCTTCTACAATTTGTGCATTCCAATCAAATAATAATCAAAATATTCCTCAAAAATCGCCAAATAATTTATTTGAGAAACCGAAATGTTTTCAAGTGGGGGTTTTATTAAAGAATCTCAGTCTTACTTTCTCTCTAGATATCCAAATCTCTATCTTATCCCCTCAACTATATAGATATCTCCAACTTATCCCAGTATGTTCTCATTTTTTCTTTCATTTTCCATTACAACCTGTCTCAGTTTCCCAGATATCTATCCTGAGTGTGGATGCTCAGTAGTGATTCTCGGGAGAAGAAAGAACCCGGTAAACGGGAGTCGAGTCGGGAATTGACGTCGGGATCAGACGTGGGCGAAACGTTTCGTTTCGTTTCGTTGTTTCGTTAGTTTCGTTATGTTTTTTCCTGTTTCGTCTCGTTTCGTGACGAAACACTTTTTAATTTGTTTCGTTTCGTTTTGTTAACGAAACACCTGTGTTTCGTTAACGAAACATTACCTATTTTTTGAGCCAAAATATTACCCAAACTAAAAAAATTTGCCCTTTGGTGATAAAAATTCAAAAAATTTTCGCCTGCGGCGCTGAAAAAGAAAGAAATCTGGCTTCTTGGCCTTCAAACTTCTCAAAATTTTCGCCTGCGGCGCAGAAAATGAGAAATCTGGCTTAAGGACCTATTTTCGCCTGCGGCGATGAGAAAGGACCCCCCTTGTAAACCTACACACTGATGACCTATTGACCCTGAAGGCTTACAAACTTTTGATCAACATCATTTTTTGCTTTTATCTCTTTACAAGTTTAATCAGTCGATCTGTGGGATTAACGGAGCTAATGAGGGGTACAGAGTTGACCCCCTTTTTAATTATCTTTAGAGCCCGTACTGGAATCTTTAGAGCCCGTACTGGAACCAATCACGATCCTGTGTCGGGATCGGCATCAGCATTCCTAAATCCAGATCCCGGTTTTTCTATAAATCCCGATACCGCTGAACTCTAGATTTAGGCGAGATAAAGAGAAAAATTGGCTAATGTCACTATAATTTATAGTCCACATAATTTTACGATCACTTATATGTCATAATTGGCCAATTATTTTCAATTTTTTTAAAATTGTGTAGTTAATAAAATAATCCAGATTTCTGAGATTTTTTTCGAAATTAAAATGTTTCGTTTTGTTTCGTTTCGTTTCGTTAAATTTTAACTGTTTCGTTTCGTTTTGTTAACGAAACGATTTTTAAAAATTTTTGTTTCTTTTCGTTTCGTCAGAAAAAAATTTTGAGTTTCGCCCAGGTCTGGTCGGGATCGGGATACCCAAGCATCACCAATGCTCAGACTAGAGGGATAAGATAGAGCTTCTAGTTTGTTTTGATGTTTAATGTCTTAAATAATTTTTTGTGCTTTTTTCTAGTACATTCCCCCTCTTGTACCAATGCCATATAGAACTTGTGTTGAAGTTAAACATTTTTCTGATAAAATTGTAAGATTTATTAAAGCCAAAAATAAAGGAAAAATAATTTAAATTTAAAGGAAGACGAAAAATCTTCCTCTTCAGATCATTCACTTTTACACGAATTAGATACAAAATTGAGGAGGTTACATGCACAACTTGATCATTTAGAAATTACGGGGGAAAGATTGGAAGGACAAATTATTAGAGAATTAAATAAAGAAGATGGGCAAATTTGGAGAAAAAGTGGTAAAAGGTTGGCTAGTGAATATGCCAAAATTGTTGAACAAAGATGTGCTGCTTTGGCAATGGAGGCTATTTTGGTTAGAAGGTGAATAATTAATTAAGTCTTCTAAATTGTTTTAAACATAATTTGGCTTTTTCTAAATTTCCAAAAGTTGGTTGTTTAAATAATTAGTCAAAATGTCTGAATACCCAAAATCCTTAAGTCCCCCCATTTTCCAATACTTTTCGTAATATTCCAATCAAAGATATAGCCTAGGTAAATGACAATATACAATAGGGTTTAGGGTTGGATTATGAGTTGGTGCAAGTCATTTCCAAACGAAACTTTCCTTTTTCAACCCGAGAAATTTTGGGGTGACTCCCAAAGCTTCCCGATACATAGTGAAGGGTTATGTACTGCGGAGAAATTTGCTCAACACCGGGGGATATTGTTCCAACAAGGGAACCTTTCGAAACTTTCGGTGGCAACGTTTTGGCCTGCCCGCTTTAGCATGTCACAGAAAAATAATCTCTGCGGTAGTTGATGATGAACTTAAAAAAATTAGCGAACCCTCATAATGAGAAAACCAGGCCCTCCTTCCGAATACAACTGCTAGGGGAGACGATGTAAATTAGTCATCTTTAGACAAAGTGGATACTTTGTTTAAATCATAATTTACATACATGAGCAGGAAGCGGGATATACCCTGCATTCCCTCCCCTCCCACAATGGGAAAGATCTCAGAGAGAGTTGCATGAAGTACTACAACTCTCCCCCTCCTAGCAGGAGACGACAGCCGGTGGTTCGCAGAATCTGATAATTTTGGAGTAATTATATAACAGCCAATTATTTAATTAAAAATATTAGATAATGTGTAAACAAAATACATAGACTTTCCTATAATTTCTAAACTTCTCTATTTCTCAACTTACAGTTAAGAAGCAGAGACTTTCTTTTTCAAGCTTTTCCGGTTGCGGTTTCCTGTTAGGAGTGGGAGTCTGTTCCACCGGGACACGCCCGAAATGTCGCGCGGCCATAATGTCGCCGAGCCATAACTTGCTTTAAGATTTCTGAATTTTTCCAAATTTAGTATTAACGATTCCTCTCATCGAGCTAAAGAGATTGGTACCAAAATTGATAAGGGCCAAATTTTTTTTAGCAAGTTATGGCTTGGCGGCATTATGGCCGCGCAAAATTTCGGGCTGTACCCTGTTCCACCAACCTAGAACAAGAAAAAATAGTTTTTTATTTTAACAATACCGTATTTACTCGATTAATTCCCTTGCGTAATTATTTTTCAACTCATCCGTGGCATGGGGAATTATTCAAGGGAGGGGAATTATTCGAGTTTTGAAATCTGAACGTTAGTACATAGGGTATTTGGGGAAGGGGATTATTGTTTTAACTCATCCGTAGCAGTGAGAATTATTCGAGGGAGGGGAATTAATCGAGTAAATACGGTATGTTATTGAAACCTTAAAAATCATTTTTTTGTTTCAAAATTTTTATTCAATAAACTACTCAATTTTTCAAATAAAAATTAATTTTTAAAAGGTATATGGACGTTTATTTACGTTTAACACATTCTCAATTGGATATTCAATTGGAAAATGTTTTATTAACCGGTAAATAAATTTTAAAATTGGACTTTACCTAATTTAAAATTTTACCAGAACCTAAAAAACAACAACAATTAAACGAATTATTAGCCCAACTTTTACACATTCGAAATGAATTGACTCAGTTAGAGAGTCGTGAAAGAGAGGCTAAGAATGCTGCATCTGCGGCTACTCGTGATTCTAATAAAGGTAGAAAATACATCTTGTTTTATGCAAGGGAGTTGAGGATTTTCTGGGTTGTTAAGGATGTTCGGAGAATTCCTATAACTAACAACTCTAGCAGGCGGATTCCGCTTCTATTCCGTTATTATCTTAATGCACCTTTTTTCCCATACACTCTGTAACAAAATGATAGGACCCCCTGTATTTTCGACCTTCGGGGTGGTCTGAAAAATCTACAAAAATCCCTGTAAACATATCTATTGATATCTATAGTAAATACAAAAGAAACGAAGTTCCAATATAATTCCTTCATTGAGATATGAAAACCCGAAAATCAACGGAAAACAGGGGGTAGACGTCTTTAAAAATTATTTTCGACCCCTTACAGGTGAGATAAAAATTTTATTTTAGACTTATTTGAAAGCCCTTAAAATTTGCTACAATATAGCATTAATTTTATTTTCTGAAAAAAATTATTCTTTAAGAAATAATCAGTTTAGTTTGTAAGTATTATTTTCATCACTTTTTGGGCGGCGTTTGAGTGATTTTTATGACCTGAAAGTTAATCACATTATCTCTTCAAGGCGAATTTTTTTCAGAAAATAAAATTAATGCTATATTGTAGCAAATTTTAAGGGCTTTCAAATAAGTCTAAAATAAAATTTTTATCTCACCTGTAAGGGGTCGAAAATAATTTTTAAAGACGTCTACCCCCTGTTTTCCGTTGATTTTCGGGTTTTCATATCTCAATGAAGGAATTATATTGGAACTTCGTTTCTTTTGTATTTACTATAGATATCAATAGATATGTTTACAGGGATTTTTGTAGATTTTTCAGACCACCCCGAAGGTCGAAAATACAGGGGGTCCTATCATTTTGTTACACTCCAAAATCATATTTATTATTATAAAATTTTTTTTTAAAATTGAATTCAACTTTTTCTTTTCATTATTGATACATAATATCCTTACCTATATTCTACCAAAATGATAGGACTAGGGGGTCCTATCATTTTGGTACAGAGTGTATTGTGAGGTTTATGCTTTAGTCACCTTTAGGTTTATAAGCTGATTTACGAAAATGAAATCTTTCCAAGTTCTTCCAATGAGGTCCATCATCCCTTATAGGAGTCGTTCCCTATTAAAAGCCCATCCAATGATATCCATTGGAAAATAAACGTCCAATGCTTCTATTAGGATTATTTTGTTCTTTACTCGAATAAATCTCTACTTTATTCATTTTTTAGATGAAACATCACCATCTAAAAAAGCCTTAAAAACAAAAAATAAAGGAGAAAAATCTCCTCGAAAAGAATCAACAAACGAAGAAACAATTCAACAACAACTACCAACAACTTCGGGTGGACCAGTTGAAAAAGAAAAATCGAAGGGTGGAGGAGGTAGTCGTTTGTTCAAGAATACATTAAAGAGCTTGAAAAAGAATCTCTAAAAATTCGAAAAAAAAATATTTAAAATTATGTAAATGCTGGGTATTTTTGAAAGGGCCGTGAGCTAGATTTTGGACCAGAACTTCGAAAGCTCTGAGTGACTGGATTATTATTCCTAAAAGGGCCGAGGATATACTTTAGCCGGTGGCCCACTCAGAAACGGGACAAATTATATACCATTCGATTCGTCTCGGCGAGCTGAGTCGAATGGTACCACTCTTTTTTTGCGGAAATTCCTACGAGCCGAGATATAGGTCCTTGAAAACCGAAAAACCAAAGGGGGGACCAAGCACTTTTTTGGGGCGAAAAATTCGAATATGTAAATAATATCTCATTCGAAAGAGCTCGTCGAGCTGAGTCGAATGACACCAAAATCAACGAAATCCGACTTGATTGGACCGAGATATAGGCCCCTAAAAACCGAGGATCAAAATGGTCGATTTTTGGAATTAAAAATTTTTTACACATATAATAACTCATTCGAAAGAGCTCGACGAGCTGAGTCGAATGACACCAAAATCACTGTGATTGAACAAGTTTAGACAAAGTTACAACACAAAAAACTATCAACATAAACCTATGGGGCGTCGGCGAGGCGCTTGTGCAAAACTCCGCGCTTCGCGCGGAGTTTTGCGGCACGCGCCTCGCGGGGAGTCTACGGGCGCTGGGTCTGGGCTCGTAACATAAACTTATGCCTATTTTAGCTGCGGTCGGCATGTCTGGTTTCCTCCCCAGCAAGAAAAACCAGCACGTAGACCAAAGGTAAGGAGCTAAAATAAGAGATCATAACTTTGTCAAATCAAGTCGGATTTCGTTGATTTTGGTGTCATTCGACTCAGCTCGACGAGCTCTTTCGAATGAGATATTATTTACATATTTGAATTTTTCGCCCCAAGAAAGTGCTTGGTCCCCCCTTTGGTTTTTCGGTTTTCAAGGACCTATATCTCGGCTCGTAGGAATTTCCGCAAAAAAAGAGTGGTACCATTCGACTCAGCTCGTCGAGACGAATCGAATGGTATATAATTTGTCCCGTTTCTGAGTGGGCCACCGGCTAAAGTACAGCCAGGGCCGATTTTATTAGTTAATCTTCTAAAAGTTACAGCCGGATAAGTAAGCGCTATCGAGATCTTTGTTACTCGAATGGCTACAGCTTTCATATGAGCTTTTAATATGATAATCTGAGCAGCTCAATTTGTGAGGTAAGGCTTTCGATCGATATAAAAATTATTCAGCTCTACTAAGAATTATAATAAAACGTTGTGGTCCAAATAAGGTCATAAATTGTGGGACTAAGTTATCGGATTTTAATCCTGAAAACTTACCCGATATACTGACAACAGGTGATATACTGTTAACCTGATATACTGTCAGTCAGTAGGGATGGTCCTCACTAATCACTAATCATCACCACTAATTACTCTTGTCTAATGTTCCTTAAGATCCCATATCCTCATCCCTTTCCTTAAAATAATCTTTCCTCTCAACAAATTCTTAAAACCCCTAAATAAAATACACAGTATTCCCTCTATATATACTATAAAATACATAATTACCTGATTCATTATATTATTTTTAATATTATTTTTTCGTGCGTGTTTATTTTTTGAACCAAATAACTTTTTTTATTATTTAGTATTGTCCAATTTTCTTAAATTAATAAATTAATATAATTTTCTTTCTTTAAATAAAGCTTTTAACAAATTTCTCTCGTCGGCTCAGTGGTCTAGTGGTATGATTCTTGCTTAGGGTGCAAGAGGTCCCGGTTTCGATCACCGGCTGAGCCCAACTTTTTAAAAATTATTTAGGAATATTTCTTATGTTTTTATAAAATTTCCGATGACCAGTAAAATCTCAAAAAATTTTTTTTTAATTTTTTATGGACCTACGACCAACCTTAAATGTATTTTAAACTGAGTTTAAATCGCCCCATAAATTTAAATATTTAATTTATCGTTTCTGAATAATTTTGAATTCATTTTTAGGCATTTTTCGAGATTTATATTCCTTTCTAGAAGGAATTTTATTTTATTGAAAAATGCCAGAAATTTTTAAATAAATATTTTATAAAATTTTTGCATAAAAAATAAAATTTATGGTGACCCCGCATCAATATGCCTTCTTAATGAATGGCTAAATTCAACAGTATCTGCAGTCTCTTTTTCATTTTCTTCTTCCTCCTCCTTTATAGATTTGGCACTCTTTAAACGAGGCACTCCAACATTATCACAAATTTGATCCAGAGTATTTTTATTTAAATAATTTCTAACATCTATTCTTGGACGTGAACGTTGTTCGCAATGTTCTATTAAACTCCAAGCCTGTGAATTAATTTAGAATAATGAGGGAATTTTGGAAAATTATTTTGGCTGAACCTGGTCTTATATTTATGAATTTAGATTCGGACTGATTTTTGTGGATATAGTCATCTTTCGGATATTGCTACAATTTTCTGATTTCTGGTTAAGAAGGCAGTGAAATACTAATGATTACTTAGAAATCATAAACCAGCTATGCATTCTGCCAGCTGACCTAACCTGTATAACCTTATTTTTGCTCATTCGTGGCATATATCGAATCGAATCATACCAAAATTTTCAGGGGGTTGGACTGCATAAATTGGTTTCGGAACTTTCATTCAAGAGTCTTCTTCCTACAAATCTATTTTATGAAAGAACATATTTTTCTCTCAAAAGTATGGGGATCCCGCATCAATGTTTTTTAAAATATCAATCTTCTCTCTCACCTTTCTAAAATTACTCCTTTTAACATTATGACCAATCAAAATAGCATAAATATCCCCTAACCGAACAATAGAATCAATGTCTGGACGTTCAGAAAATTCACCCAATTGTCTCATAGATTCGCCTGGATCCTTTTCATATAACCTTTAAAAAATTAATTTTAAGAGAATATTTTTTCTCAAAAAACATTTTAATATCCAAAAATCGCTGTATTATTTCCAAAGTTTCTCTCAATTGTTCCTGCCTTTCTGTTAAATAAAATTGTTGTTGTTGCTGTTTTTTAACATCAACATTTCCCTTATCTATTTTCTTATTTAAACAACGTATAGCTTCAGAATAGGCAGCCGCTGCTTTTTCGTAATCGTGATATTCTTCAATTTCTACCTTCAAAAGTAGGGTTAAATGAGTAGTTTTTGGATGGATACAGTCACATATAAAATAGCCTAAAGGGAAGCTATTAGAGCTGTCCGAGACTCTTGGTCTTGGTCTTGGAACCAAGACTTTTCTTGGTTTTTTTTCGGTCTTGGTCTTGGTCTTGGGGTGTTTGTCTTGGTCTTGTCTTGGTTTTATTTTTTGGTCTTGGTTTTTTGGCCTTTTTGGACCTAGTGCTTGGCCATCCAAAATCCTCAAAATTTTCGCCTGCGGCGCAGAAAATGGAAGAAATCTGGCTTCTTGAGTCCCAAAATTCAAAAAATTTTCGCCTGCGGCGCTGAAAAAGTGAATTTTTGTGGCATACGTCCTTCCAAAATTCTCAAAATTTTTGCCTGCGGCGCAGGAAAAGGAAGATTTTTGGCTTCTCGGCCTTCATAATTCCCAAAATTTTCGCCTGCGGCGCTGGAAAATGAAGAATTCTGGCTTCTTGGCCTTCCAAAATTGTACAAATTTTCGCATGCGCGCAAAAAGATCCACTTAAATTCCCCTTTAAACCTCGATATCCTCCTTAATCCAAGGGCGTAGCCAGGGGGTCGATTTCGAATGGGGGGGGGGCTAACGTTGGGTATCGCCAAAATTTTGGCTTTACCTTGGCGTTCCAGACGTAAAATCCCACGACATCCCTCATAATTCACTAAATCCCACGGCAATCCCTCTTAATCCTTTGATATCACTAATATCCCGTTAATCCACCCAAATCCTCTGAAATAATAACCTATTTTATTGATTTTCCACACGAATAAATTCCCCAAAATTCTTTGAATTTCGCATAAATTTTTCGAAATTATAGATAATTGTGCTGAAGTTGACTGTGATCGTATCAAAATAACAAAAAATAAACCAAAAATTTGACCTATGGGATTTAAAAATTTGGTCTTGATTTTTGGTCTTGAGTCTTGGAGTTTTGGTCTTGGTCTTGAGTCTTGGTCTTGGAAAAAATTTTGTCTTGGGTCTTGAGTCTTGAGTCTTGGAAAAATTTTGGTCTCGGACAGCTCTAGAAGCTATGACCTTTAAATTTTTGTTAGACAACCTCAACACGGTTATTTTCCTTCTTTGAAAATTTCAGAATTTTTGGTTGTGTATTTCATAAGTTATAGGCGAAAACCCAGAAAAATGATAGGAATTCTTCAAAAATTCGAATATTTTCTGCCATAACTTTCGAAATACGAAACCAAAAATTCTGAAATTTTAAGAAAAACTAGTTGACAATATTGAGGATCTTTGTGCAAATTTTCATAACTCTAGGTTCCCTTTGGCTATTTTATAAGCGATTAATTTCCAGCACCTGAGCACACGCTTCATAGAAATTAGCAAGTAAATCAACAGCCCCAGCTTTTAAATAAAATGCTTCAATTTGCCTCATTAATTGGGCATTCTCTTTCCAATTTAAATTTTGTAAATAATTGCCAGCCATTCGGTAAATGTCTTTATCTCTAGCTGTATTGGCAAAAAGGATAACTTTTTGGGTATCTCCAGATTTGAGTAAAGCACGCATTGCCTGTTAAAATTATTTTTAGTTTATAGAAAAAAATATAAAGGAAGAGAGTTAAAGAAGGATGGTCCGGATTTCGGATTTTGGGTATCGGTACTCGGATATTTCGTGACATCCTTGATATATACTTGGGATTTAAATACAGGCAGGAAACGTAATCATGCAGATATTTTGCCTTTTTTTTAAACGAGTAAAATCTGAATCAGTCCGATAATTGTTGGTAAAACATCAAAATAATTTTCTTTCCGTTCCTGTGCTAATTGATGACGGGGTTATTTGATCCATTTCTGGCCCAAAAATATTACTTTTGGCTTCCTTCTTTCGCTTTTTAAAATTAATCTAATTGAATTAAAAAGTCTCCAATTAAATTTTAAAAACGTATAATTCTGAGGGTATTATTAAGATTTGACATAATTAAGTCGTTTAACTAAGTTGGACTAAATAATTTAACATTGCCTCTGTTCAAGGTTACTTTCAGAAGCTTAAACTCCTGTAAAAAATAAAAAATTTACTTCTAATTTATTCCCAGCTTGAGTAAATTTTTTTGCTGCAAAGTGATAATTGCTTTGTTGTAAGCAACACTTTGCTATTTGTTCTAGAAGAGATGATCTTTCTTTAGTTGAAAGACTTTCTGTAAAATATTTCAGAAATTAATTAGGTACATATTTCTAAAACATTTACTACCCAAATTATTCGGTGTAAGTAAATTATCCAATTCCTCCGTAATAATTACATTCTTTCTTAAACATAACTGTGCAGCCTCGTTATACTTAAAATAATTTTTATTAAAAATTTTTGAGAAATCTCCTCAAACCCGTTTAGCAAAGACCAAAAGCTGAACAGCTGTTCGGTCTTGTTGATTAGACGAGAAGAATTGGGCTGCTCTGGTTAGTACTGATGGATCCGATTTTTCATTTAATTCTTGTGCAATAAGGTCTAATGCACCAAATTGACCGGTTCTTTTGAAAAATTTTATTTTCAATTTATTTTTAACTTAAAGGAATTACTTGCAGGCATAATCTAAAGCACTCCCCACCATTCCAGCCTGTAAAAATAAAAAATTTTAGTTAATATTGTTAACAATTTTGATGTATCTGATTATATTAGCGGTATACACTCCGATCTACAGGGCTTCCAAATTGGCTAATAACTAGACCTATAAAAGTTAGATCTGGAGGCCCTCGTGTTAATAACATTTACATACAAAGTTCGATTAATCAAAGTTTTCTCACTTTATGATAAAGCATAACAGTCTTATCAGCATGCCCATTTAAATTCTTATAATATTCAGCTGCTTCAGCCAATTCAGAACCCCCAGCCATTAAAGCTAAATTGGCTATTTTGTCCACCATTCCATTTTCTTTTGCTAAACGAATAGCACTTGAGAATGCCCCTGCTTGTGTAAAAAATTGAACAGCTTTGGCAGACTCTGATTGAGTTTCGAATTGCATTGCTAAATGGAATGCTGCTGCTCTGTCACCTGACTGATTGGTTAATAGAGTTGCCTGGAAAGAAAAATCGTTGTTAATTTTATGTACCTCACTATAGGATAACACTTAAGGAAATTGTATCTTATAATGAGATGTACATTAAATAGAGGGTGTTGATTAAACGGCTCCTCCCGCCTAGTATCTTATGGTGAACCCAACTGCAAGCAAAAATTCTTTTCCAAACTCACTTCCTCAAACTGTCCATTATGACAAAGAATGCGAATAACCGATAGGAAATCTTTCGCATTTTGATAAAAGCTTTTTGCTGTTTCCATATCTCCAGTACTTTCTACAAATTGTGCCCACCATTTATATAATTCTGGTTCTGCCTTCTTTTTAGTATAAAATTCTAAAACTTTTGGCTCATCACAAAGCATTCGAGGAACATCAGAATAATGGGTGTTTGCTTTTTCGTAACTAAAATTTTTTAGTTTTATATTCTTATGTCCTTAGACTTGAATATTTATTAAACTTGAATTTTCTTAATTTAATTCTTAATTAATCTCCTCCTTACTTTTCAATAGCCTTTTCAAAAGCACCGACACTTTCCAATTGTTTAGCATAATTGTAATGAGTGTGACGCAAATTAATTCTATCATGTTCCTCTACAACAGCAAATGCTTCCGTCCATTTGCCTTGTGCCTGGTAAACTTGATTGACTAGATCAAAACGATTTGCCTTTTCAAAAAGACGGATAGCTTCTTCCTTTTTAGAATTTTTTTCAATTAAAAAAAAAATAATTTTCTTGTATAATTTACATTCATTCCAAGTTCTATAGCCAATCTGGCAATTTGCAATTCTGGTAACTCTTTTAACTCTATAGTTCGTCGAATTGCTCGGGCTGCTCTAGCATTTGCCATATGACCAAGACAAACTTTAGCAACATCTATACGTCTTGTTTTTACACACATTCTGGCCTAAAATTATACTTTTAGTTGAAAATACTTTTTAAATTATTAGAAAGTTATTAATTTGTGAAGGAACTTACCATGTGCTCCCAGACGCTCTCACTGAAAATATTTAAATTTTAGAAATAAGTAAAGCTTAAGCTTGAATCATGAGCTAAAGTTTAAGCGCAAATGTTAGGCATACATTAAATCCGAAATTATTTGAACTTGAATATATTCAATTCTAAACTTGAAGACTATACTAGGTATTAAACCATAATGCTTTAATTTAATTTTAAGTTTAAACTATGGTTCGATAGTACGGGGCGGGGGCTGAGTTAACGAGGAACGGGGGTTGCGAGGAATTAGTGTTCGGGAAATGGGGCGGGAAGGTCCACCCTAGCTTCCCCCGTGGGAATTCCCCCAGGATTTTTAAAAAAGTTGAAGAATAAAGTAAACAAAACATAACTATTTTAAATTTATTTTTTAGCTTTATTTGAACCTTCTTATTTGGTTAATATATAAGCTTAAACTTTAATAAACTTAAAATAAGTTTAGACTCCTATAAATTACTTTCACGTACTTCTTAATAAATTTAATAGCTTTAAAAGCATTATCCATCTGGCCAATACACAAATAAAAACTAAAATCAAGCATTGCTTGTATTGCTTCTCTATCCTCAACATTAATTCCAATAAATTCCCGAAGGGTTCTGCGAATTACAAGACGAGAAATGCTTAATTCTATACCTCCAGGTTCGTCTTCATCATCCGCCTCTATCTAAAAATTTTTTTGAATATGAAGGAAAATATAAGTTTAAATTCACATTTTTTAAGAAATAAATGTACGGAACAGATACAAAAATTAAAGCATCTGTTTTGGCCGATTTTTGTTGCAAATCATGCATTTGAATGCCATGTTCTGCTGTTACAAACATTGTTAATAAATAGGAGGGATTTGGCTAAAATTAATTAAAAATCCACCTAAAAATCCAGCATTTAATCTATTATCTACCATAAATCCATCATTATTATTGCCAATACTAATTGCCTCACATATCAAAAGGCGAGGATCATTTTGATCCCAAAAGAAGTTGCCTGGCGCGTGAAGTGGTAAACGAAAACGAGATTGTTCTAATTCGATTTTCCTTTAAAAATAAAAAATAATAATTATTTGCTGGATAAAATTATCAAAAATTCAGGTAGAAATTTAAGTTTAAATTAGAATTTAATTGCCTAATCGCAGCAGTTTTCGGCCTAGCAGTACTCGGCATTACAGCAACAGAATCTTGCTCATATTGTTGTTGGTCAGTAATTCCAGAATTAAAAGAAAAATATCCAACAGAATCATTCTCTGCTTCCCAAACATAAACACGTTCAGAAGAGATTTGTTCGTCATCATCCTTTAATTAAGACCGATTAAGCCTTATAAATATTTACTGATTCAAGTTTGCATTAAGCTTGAATTTATTTAAAAATTAGTCAAGTTTATTAATCATTCAACTTTATTTTTTTCAAGCTTAAACTTCAATAAATTAATTTTTCAAGTAACTTTTCTCTCTCTAAATTTATTTTCCTTACTTTCCGTAGCGTGAAACAAACACGATTCCCTGCAGAATTTATGCGTATTTGTTGCCATTTAAAACAAGTTGGAATAGAATTTCGCAAATTAGAAGAACGAAAAATTAATTTCATTGAACTAGAAAATTAAAAATAATATGTTTCAAAGTAATTTATCAACCTTTCACTAAGATCATATATTCGGATATAGCCTAGAGAAGATGCAACACAAAACCAACTTCCTTTGACATTTATCATTTCGGGTTTTCCTTCAATTTCGCGGAAGGTAATTGAGCGTTTTATTGTACCCTGTGAAGACAAGTTTATTTTAATATTCAAGTTTGTTCTTAAATAAGCTTGAACTTGGAATTTTAAGTTTAAACTTAAATCAAGTTAAATAAATTAAACTTGAAATCTTAAGTTTAAACTTGAATTCAAGTTTTATTTTCATTTTAAAGTCTTCTATTTTAGCCCTAGCATACCCGACAAAATCCAATTTAAAGCAAAATTCACTTCCTCTTAAAATTACCTGTAATGTCCTCACTAATAACTGTTCATTTGCAAATGTATAAATATGTTGATTAAAATAAGCAGCTTGGTTAATATTATTTACCTCAAACGAGGCAACATTTTCTATTTTAATTGGGGCATCTTTGGGGCAATGAATTTGGTCTAGTTGGATCTAATATTTTTTAATTAAAAAATTATTTATTTTTCACTTGCCTTAGTATCATCCCACAAAGTTAAATAATTTTCTGTAACAAAAAATCCACGAATATTTGAATGGAGTTGTAATTCTTGTGTTTCCATTGGATCCGTAATTTTGACTAAATTGAGCAATTGGGCACTTACTTGAATGACTGCATACTTTAAATATTTTTTATTGAAAAATAAAAATATTTTTTACATTAGAATCCACAAAAAATTCAATACATTGAGATAAAAATATTTGGACAGAGTCGCCTGAGTTTAATGCAAAAGCTGCCGAATTGTTAGACCAGGCCATTCCAATAACATGTTCGAGATTTAAAGAAATTGCACTTGTTAATCTCCATTGTTGGTCAATTAATGATCTAGCTATATTTGTATTATTCTCATCTAAATTATTGTTTTGTACTCGCCGCCACGTTGCTAATCGCCATTTACTAGTCATTCCACAAATACTATCTTTAATTAAAAATAAAAATCAAGTTTGTAAACTTGAGTGAATAAGTTTGGAATAATTCAAGTTTATTAATAATTCAAGCTTAAACTTAAATTTATTAGCGTAAACTTGAAACTTATTAAACTTGAATATACAAACTTGAAATTACTCAAACATAAACTTGAAAATAAGTTTGAAATAATAATTTAAATTAAGGCCTAATAAAATTGATTTATTCAAGTTGGTTTTAAAAATTTTTAATTTTTAAAATTATTACCCTTCTTCGGCAGATAAGACAACATCAATACTTGTTCATCACTTGCTTCATATCCCCTATCTGCCCTCAATCTAAGTATAGCACTATCCTCAGCTTCTAAATCCCAAATACGGATTTCTCTGTCGCCGTAAGCAAAGGCCACAGTTCCAAACCCAACACGTATCATTTGAAAATATTTAGATTTAGCTGCCAATTTGACCTTTATTTAATAAAAAATATTCTTAACTGTTATTAACATTTTCATCTTCCCTAGGTGTTTAAAAAATTTTGAATGGGCATATTTTTAAATAAAAAATGCCTGTCAGACTAGAATCTTTTTCTTCAACTTTCCAGTACCTTAATTTTGTCATTAACTAATTTATCGTCACACATTAGTTGATAAAACATCATTTCCTCAGTTATAGCCAAAAAATAATTCTGTTGAGGCATATCTAATATTTGCCTAATTCCACTATCCGCCTTTAAATTAAAAATATTTTTTTACAAAATTTTTAATTTCTTCACCTGAAATATTTTATTTAATTGTTTATTTGCCGGATCAAATAAGTAAACACCTCCCTGTTCCATTCCAAATATAAAAACAGGTATAGTATCTAGTTCAGTCATGGCAAATCTTCTACGCCCTTTACGCCCATTTTTAGGGTTGTTATCATCTCCAAAGCTTTGCTTTAAATTAAAGAATGATTGGAATTTTATTTAAATTCAGCATTTTTTATTATACAGTTGTCCTTCAATTTTATATAAATCCTTGCGAATGAAAAAATTCTAACTAAAATCGAGTTAGGAAGAATTAAAAAAAAATTTTTTTTAATTTCTAATTTATCGTCACACATTAGTTGATAAAAACAAAGAAATAACCAAATTTTAAGAATGTGCCTTAAATTGAGATGTATCTAGTATCGAGGGTATCTTATAGTAAGGTCCCACCGTAAGATGTTTTAAATGGGATAAGTATCGTTTAATTATTTTATGGATTGAGTAAAAATTTTGAATATTATTTAATCATGATCTAATCAGATACTTAATCCACATTTATATTTAATCCACGATTTTAGAAGGAAAATATAAAGTTCACAAAAAATTTTTAAATAAAAACAAACCAATTCAGTTATTCTTTTGTGTTTATTAATTAGTTCTGTCAAAGTTTCCTCGTTTGATTTAGGTGCTGAATTTTGGCGGCTAGAAGAATTTTTACCTGCAGAAGATGTTCTAGCAGATTTACGGTCTTTTGTGTTTGCAGATTGTAATAATTTTCTATATTTATTTTTTAATTTAATAAAATTTATATATTTAAATTGCCTTGGTATTTGTTTAAAACAAACAACCCTTGGAATTTCTTCCTTTGATTTAACACTGCATAAATGCTCCAAACGGCTTTCTTTACTATCAAATTTGAAGCATTGAATATCACCAATCTAGTTAAAGTTATTTTATATATTCTTTTATCAATCTATTATCAATCCAGAATTTTTTAAAAATGCCGGATAGTGCCTTACTCAACAAAATATTCACTATATTAAACAGTTAAGGGTTCAAAAAGTGTCGTTTGTTTTGTGGAAAGGTGGGTCGGAATTCCGATTTCCGACTTTTGAGTCTTTTCTAGTAAATTATATCAAGTCTAAGGGGTAACACACAATAATAGAAAAATTAAAAACACAAAAAGCCCCCCCTAGATCCCGTTCAACTTCCTTAAATTTAAATCATAGTTCATCTCTTTTATTTTACCTCATCTGCAGCAACCAGCAATAATCCTTCACTATCCCATAAAATACAACAACAACGTTTTAATCCCGCATCCAAATCATTACTTTCTTTTGATTTAAATAATATTTTTGTAGAAATATTTTTCTTAAATTCCTACCAGTTCTTTTTGTTGGATCTACCAAACTTAAATGTCCAGTTTCCCACCCTATAGCAAGCAATGACTCTGTAGGATGCCAACAAAAAGTAGTTGGGGAATTTTGATTTCGAACTTTTGAAGAGAAGAAAGGCTTTCCACCCTTGAGAAATTATTTTTGTTTTAATTTTAAAAAATAAAAAATGAAATAAAAAATCTTTTTCCGGGTAGTATAGAAGGGAATGAAGGTTCAGAAAACCAATTATTATTTCCGAGCAGGAAAAAAACTGTGGATTGTTTGCCTCGGATAGACGTTTTTTTTCAGCCTGTAGATTACTTCGACGGGATTTCAAAAATTGTTTTCCAAAGTCAAAAAATTCTTTTTTTATGTTTCTGTTTAAAAACATTGTTCTGACAGTCAAATTCAATTATCGAAAGGAAATTTTCTAAGTCCATTTTTTATAAAACAAAACCTTTTTAGTGAAGAAACTTATAAATCCTCCACTATTTGAATTAATAGATGAAACGGCTAACAAATCCTTACTGCTATGCCATTCTAGTTTGAGATGTTTTGTTGTTGTTGTTGTTGTAGACATTTAGTTATATTTTAATTTAGAAAATTGTTCGTTTTTTTCTTGAATATTAATTTTCTCCTTTCATTTCAATATTCTCTCCATGCTGTCATAGCAACTTAAACAGAATATTTCCTTATAAATGTGGGGTACCTTTGTTGATGCGTATTTTATGCCAAACAAAAGTTTCTTGGTAAAAATAAAATTAAATTTTGAAAACACAAAAAAGAGTTTACCTAATTCTCCGAAAAATTTTATAGCCCAAATATGGACTCTCTCTATCCCATAAATATTTTCTACTCGTCGTTGAACTCGCATTAATGTTGTCGGTCGTTGGGAAATCCTTGGATATCAAGAATTGTCAACCTTACTCGACACACACTTTACGCTAACAATAAAGCTGTCTTTAATTCTTTCCTTAACTCGAAACCCAATTCTATGAAAATACCATGTTCTTGGACTCTGAAAACCCGGTCCTGGGTCCAGTCAGATGTCTTACTCTACCAATAAATCCTAGTTTAAATTCTTTCCTTAAATTAATTTTCTTATTTCTTCCTTGTTTTTTTTTCTTTACTTCTTCAATTCCTTTCTTCATCTATTTTTAATCTTTAAAAATTTTTTTTATATCCATTTTTAATATTTTATTGCTTTTTGCGTCATTTTAGGCTTTCCCTGTCATTCACAATCACACACCCTCAATTACTCCTTAATTTATTAAATTGACATCCTTTTCTTTTCTCGTGTTCAAAAATTATTTTTATTTTTTTCAAATAAATTTTTTTAATTAAAAAAGGCCTCAAAGAACTTTTAATTTTTTGCCTCATTAATTCCCACGTGTTCTCTCTTAACAATTTTTATGTCACATTTAATTTTATTTTTAATCTTGAGTCTATCAAAGGGGGAATTCTTTTGTCTTTAAAGAGATTAAAAAGCAAGTTTTATTAACTTTGAAATTTCTTTTAATTTAAAATAAAATTAATTTTTGGTACTTTTCCGTTATGACGTAACCCCCTAAATTAATGTTCAAAATGTCATGTATAGGGTATAAAAAGGTGCTGAGTCGAACGGTACCACTCGTTTTTCACGGAGATGCCTGTGGACCGAGATATCGGGTTCGAAATGGTCAAAAACCATAGGGGGAGTAAGCTTAATTTTGGGGTGAAAAATTCCATTTTTTGAATGATAGCTCTTTCAAAAGAGCTCCTCGAGCTGAGTCGAATGACACCAAAATCAGCTCAAAATCTTGATTTTGAGACTAGATGAACAAGCTCAAAATGGTCAACGTAACCTACATATGGGGCGTAGGCGAGGCGCACTCACCCTATGGTTTTTGACCATTTCGAGCCCTATATCTCGGTCCACAGGAATCTCCGTGAAAAACGAGTGGTACCGTTCGACTCAGCACCTTTTTATACCCTATACATGACATTTTGAACATTAATTTAGGGGGTTACGTCATAACGGAAAAGTACCTAATTTTCTTTTAAATATACCTACCTATCTAAAGTCGAATCTCACTAAAAATACACTCAAATCTCACAATCAATTTATAGTTACATTTTTTAATTGTTTGATTATTTAAGTGATACCCTTTATTTATGTAAGATACACCCCATTCAGCTGTGATTTAAGATACACCCTATTCAGATACACCCCATTCAGATTGTTAACCGCTCAACTATCCCATCCCCGACTGATCATTCTCTGGGAGGGTGAGGAAACTAGCTGGCCTTGCTGATAATGTACGAAAAAAATAAAACAAATAATGTGAAGGGATCATGTGTTTTCACAAAAATTTTAGGGGTGCTTATACTTTTGTGACAGAGTGTACAATTTTCAATCCTGTATTTACACAATAAATGTCTGACTATGTATATTTTTTAGAATCCTTATTTTTGTTTAAAAAATAATTAAAAATATTTTTTAAATGATTTAGATCAAATCTAGCACAAAATTAATTTTTAATAGTTTTTTTAAGTTAGAGAAAAATCTCTCCTTTTCCCATTATCTCTAACACATAAAATTAAATATTCGAAATTTTATTTAATTTTAAAAAATAAATTTATTTATTTTTGCTTATTTGTTTTCATTTAATGCCAGCATTTACTCATTCGATATCTTCATTTTAAGCAGACAGAGAATTTTAATAAAAATAATACGAGAGACAGACATCACACACACACAGTTGTTTGGTGGTTGGTTGTTGTTTTATTTAGCTTATTTTTTTCTAAACTTGCGTCCCCAATTCTTTATTTATTTCCAGTCACCTTCTAACCAAAAAATTATTTTTTAAAATTTTTTACAAAATTTTTTATTTTAATAAAAAAAAACTAGGGCGAAGTTCCCTTCCCTATCAGTTCCTTCCCTCAACTCCGCCTCCATTTCCTCAGAATTTCGACTTTTTGTCCCTCCCACTTCAGCACTCCGTCTCTCATTTTTTTTAAATTTTGTTCAGATTTGTTCCGACTTCTGTCCTCTGCCTTTTAAAATGCAATAGGGCCCTCCCTGCTCCCCAGCCTGGTTTAATGAAGCAAAAAACCACTGGGATAACAACGACTTGGGAAAAACTCTCAGAATCATTTCTTATCCCATCTTTTACTTAAGTAAATATTTTTCAAATTAAAATAATTTTATTTTAATTATGTAACTCTCGATTTTTTTAAAATTTACCTTCCTTTCCCCTTTTTATTTTCTTTCCTCTTTTGTTTCCCTCCTTTCCTTTAATCTCCCCCTCCTTTAAATTAAACAAAAAAATTTCTTTCTTTATTTTCAATTGAAAAATGTTGAGATTTTAAAAGATTTTTTTTAAATTTTACTTTTAATATTTACTCAATTCTTTTTTTCTACTAAAAAACTGAACTTTGGACGAAAAAATAAATAAAAATTCTTTTCAATTTTTTTGTCTATTTTCTTTTTCCACTTTTACATTATTTTCTTCTTTTTTACACTTTTCTAAAATATTTTTGTGTTGTTGTTTTTGTACTTTAGTTTAAAAAGAGAATATTGACTTGACGACGACTGTTCACTTTAAAAAATTTTCGGAAATTTTATTTTTTGTTTATTTTAAAGAAAATCTCTTTTTTTCAATAAATTAAATTATTTTTTCCTCAAAAATTATCTCAGAGAAATAAATTAGGAACAGTCTGATCTTGTTAATACACTCAATACAAAATCACCCCTCTCCAAACAATTTTTAAAGCGTGACAGGCTAAAACGCAGAATATTTTCTAAAAATCAGAATTTATTTAAAATTCTGATTTTAAAAAATCTTCTGATTTGCGTGAGGAGAGATAGAGCACATTAACTGATACCCTTCTATTTAAAATACACCTCTTATAAATACAATCATTTAATCACTGAGGGAGGGGAGCTACATTTACCAATAGATGTCTGACTAAATAATTTATTTTTTTAAATATTATTCTTCCATTTTTCTCTCTCCAAAAATCTTTTTCTCAATTTATAAACATCAATAAATTTGATAGCAACCTTTTCACATAGCTTCATCATTTAAAATTACTTCCTCAAATTATTTTATTTACTTTACTACCCAGAAGATCGAAAAAGAAACTTTTTAATTCTGATTTTTATTAATTTAAAAAATTCTGATTTCTAAATAATTCTGATTTTCTTTAAATAAATTCAGAATTTTTTTAAAACTTGAAAATCAGAATTTTTAAATTAAAAAAAACAGAAAATCGAAATCTTATTAAAAATCAGAATTTTAATTTTCAGAATTAAAGTTTATTTTCTTTCTTTTCTATTTAATTTTCAGAATATTTAATTGCAACCTTTTTATTCTGAGATAGTTTTCTAAATTATTCTCTAAAGGTTTTTGATCTTTTAAATATTCTTTACACCCTCACCTTTTTTAAATACAAAAAATTTTTCTTTATATTTATAATCGGTTAAGAAAAATTTAAATCGGCTTCTAAAAAGACTGATAAAATAAAAAAAATGTATATATTTTTTAGTAAAAAAATTGTAAATTGTCTAGTTCAATTTTTGTTCTCTTTTTAATCTTTAATTTAAATCTTTAATTTATTTGATTGATAAATTAGTAGTGATTGGTTGCACTCAACAGAATATTTCTATTTGATTTTTTATTAACAAAAATCAGAATTAAAATTTTTATCTGTAAATCTGAAAATCAGAATTTCTAAATAAAAAATCAGAATTAAAAATTCTGAAAAATCAGAATTTTATTTAAACTTGAAAAGCAGAAGAAAATCAGAATTTTCTTAAAACAAAAATCAGAATATTATTTTTCAAAACTTGAGAATCAGAATTCTATTTTTAAAAATCAGAATTTTCACAAAACTTAAAATAAAGAAATCAGAATTCTTTAAAACTTAAAAATCAGAATTTTCAAAATAAACTTGTTTAAAATCAGAATTACTTTTTCTTTTAACTTTATTCTGATCTATGTTTTTAATATACTTTACACATTAAAATTAATGTTGTTGTTTTGTCTATGCTTAACAAATGTGTGTAGCATTAGCAATCGAAGGAAAAATTCAAACAAAAAAGCTTTTGATGCTTTTCACGTGAATAAAATACTTTTAGTGACAGGCGGAGATTGCACTCTACAAAATATATTTAGTTTTAGTTTTTTTTGAATATTTTTTTTGTGATTTTTGTATTTATTTTTACATCATTTTTACAATTTTATTTATTTTCAAAAATCCCTTTTTTCTGTTTCATCATTTTTATTACTTTTTATTTAAGTTAAAAATTAATGGACACTTTTTAGGAACGAAAAATAAATATATTAATTAATTAAAATTATTTAATTGGGAAATATTGAAGGAAAAATATTATTTTAATGCCTCTGCAGGTATTTTATCAACACAAATTAAAAACAATTAATTTTAGGTATTTCTAATTTATGCTGCATTGGTGGTGTTTGTTTATTTGGTGGGTAAAATTGATTTATATTTTTAAATTCTGATTTTAAATAAATTTTCTGAAAATTCTGGTTTTAAGTTTATTTTCTGAAATTACAATTTTTTAAAATTGTTTCTGAAAATTCTGTTCATATAATTCTGATTTTGGGGATTTTCTGGAAATTTCTGATTTTAAGTTTATTTTCCGAAATTCTGATTCCAAGTTTATTTTTAATTTCTGATTTTAAAACTTGTGAAAATTCTGGTTTCAAGTTTATTTTTTTTAGAAATTTTAAGTTTATTTTTTTTCTGATTTTCTGAAATTTAAAGCTTATTTTCTTAATTCTGATTTTAAGTTTTCTCTCTTTAAATTCTGATTTAAAGTTTATTTTCTGAAATTTTCTTCTCTAATTTTTAATAAACTTATTAAAGGCCACTGACGGCTTCCAAAACAATGCTCCCTTTGTTTTTGCATTACCAGTGATTGTTTTAGGGTGGTTTACTTTATGGACTAGAATGCCTGGGAGGAAAAGATTATTAACTGCTATATCCTTCTTTACACTTGGTTAATTAATTAAAAATTATTTTTAAAAATTCCAAAATTATTTTCAAGCTATTGCTTTGTATAGCTGGTCTGTTTTCCCCAAAAAATTAGAATTAAGTGCAATGCTCATTTGCCTTTCACATATTGCCTACCTTCTCTCTTTCTATCGCTCACTAAGGAAATGGTGGGTGGCTCTAACTGTCTCTAGTAAGTTTATTTTTGAAATTCTGATTTTAATATTTAAAAATTCTGATTTTAATTTAATATTTAAAAAGTCTGATTTTTGATAAGCACATCAGAATTATTGGAAAATAAACTTGAGACAGAATTTTAGACAAGTCAAAAAATCAGAATTTAAATTCTGATTTTTTTATTTAAATTCTGTTTCAAGTTTATTTTCTAATAGTTCTGATACATTAGGTTTGCTTCTTATTTTTCAAATTTATTTTTAGTAAATAAATTCCGTTCAAGTTTCTTTAAAATTCTGATTTTAATATTTCTGATTTTAATTTCAAGCTTATTTTTATTAACTTAAAATTTGCAGCATTAGCAATTGTCTCTCTCTTTCTCTACGGTGTCTTCGCCGATCTCTACCGTTCTATCCCTGCATTAGTTGCTGCAATGTGTGCAACTATTTTATTATCCACATCCTCTTTTATGTAAATTTTATTTTTAAATAAAATTTTTTTTAATTTTTTAAAATTAGTGTGGCCGGTTCTGTATGGAAAAATGGTTCAACTATGCGTTATGAAGAACGGTCAGCTCTTGTCCGCTTCTTTGGAACATTCTTTTTGTTAATTTGCAATGCTGCACTTTTGGTAATTAAGAATTCTGATTTTTATTTGAATATTTTTGTAGCTAATTCTGATTTTAATAATTCCAATTTCTGATTGAAAATTCTGATTTTTTAAATTTAAAGTTTAATTTTTTAAATTCTGATTTTCTGAATTCTGATATGAAATTCTGATTTAAGTTTATTTTTCTATAAATCTCTGGTTTAATTTTCTGACTTAAAATTCAACCTTTCCAGGTTAACCAATTTGCTCGACACACAAATACTATGGTCTGCTACCTAAATTTTACATATTACACATCCCAGTTTTTGCTTTATTTTGCGAATGAAAGAGCATTTTAAATATAAAATATTTTTCAAATCTTTATTTTTTCTAATTCTTGTTTTTTTTTTCAATTATTTATGTCGGTTAATAGACATTTCGTTGCTTTAAAATTATGAGAGATTATTTTTTTATTAACATTTATTTTTAATTAAAATTTATATAAATATTTGTATTTTGGATAAAACCGAATTAAATCTTTAAAAATCCTATTGCTAAGTAAATTTCAATCAAAAATTCAATCAAAAATTCAGAAAATTAGGAAAGAAATTTTTTCAGAATATTTTATTTCTAAACAAAAGAATTTTAAAATTTGTCTGTAAATTAGAGATCGGACTGGGAGTGTCGTAAGAGAATCGAGATTCAGATCTTGAAAAAATGTTGATCTCGCTATACGAGATTTTTGATAGAGACCGTAAATTCTCATTAATAATTTTGAAAATATTTTTGTTCTCATTAAATACAAAAAATATTTTTGAGAAAATTTTCTTAATATTTACATTAAAAATTATTAGACATAAACAAGTCGTGGGATTTTTATTGTTTGTTTAAATTCTTATTGAGAGGATATTAGAATTTAATAAAAACTTATAAAGTGCATTTGGACTTTTGCTAAAGAATGTACTTAATAATTACAGTCCGAGCTGTGTATTAAGTATAGATGTATTAGGCATAGTTGTTAATATTTAAAATTTTATTCCCTTAATAATTGTTTGACCAGAAAATGCAAATCAAAGACATTTGTTATGTATGGAGCTCTTAATGTTTGGACCTATGGTCCGGTATTTTCGTGTGTACCTTAATTCTGGGTGTATAGATCTTTGTATTGTGATAAAAGATTTTCTGGGAATACTTTAAACTTAATGCTAATAAATTTATATTTTAAAACAAAAATTTTGAAAATTTTCAGCTAAGAATTATTTAATAGTTCCATCATTTTTTAATTTTTATGAGAGGAAACCGATGGAAGAAAATAGGACACATATTGTGGGCAGCTGAATACCAAAGGATTAAAATCTGGATAAAAAATTAGAAAAATATAATCTTTATTCAATTATTGTGGGGTTATTTGTGCACGATTAAAAATAGCATTTCGATATGGAGTGTTTGTTAAAATGCAAATAATTGGGTTAAATACAGGGACTAAATGAAAAGAAGTGAAAGATAATATTCGAAAAATGTTTGTTGTATCGTTGATTGTTGACATAAAAAACACAAGAAATAATCTTGCTGCTTGGTTGATAAATGGAACAACAGCCTGAAATTTTTAAAAATAAGTAGATTAAGTATTTTTTTAAATTAAAAAGAAATATTTAATCAAATAAACACACCAAAATAATCAAAACTTTTGTTAAAAGTTTATTCAATCTTTTTAAATTTCCATCAAAATTAGTGTTTAAATTGACATATCTAACCATTTTTATTCCACAAACAATTATTATTAAATATGGAGATATTTGAATTAATGACAATAGTAAAATTGAAAAATTATTAATCTAATATAAGTTGAATATAATAATTGAAACTTGTTAAATTACCGATTCAGTTTTGCATTGAACAAATGGCAATGTTTTGTTAAAAGCATCAAAATATTTAATACCTCCAAAGGAATATGGATTGCCGAACAAAGTTGTGTTCAACAATAAAAATAACGTCACACATAAAGCAACGGACAACATTGATAAATAACGAAGAAAATTAATTTTTAGGTTTCTAATGGATTTATTTGGGGGGAATGTTTAAATAAATTAACCTATTCAAAACTAAATATCGGTAAATAAATTGAACACACAATCCATATATATTAAAATAAACAAGGTAATAACAAAATAATGCAATAATATAACTTATAAGTGGATTAAAATTTTCATTTCCAAAATTAAGCATAATTCCATTAGTAAATATTATGACCGTATTTCCATCTTTATCAGGTAGATAAAACTATAAATAAATAAAAATTCACAAAAAATACCGTATCTCCTCTATTAGAATGCCATGGCATTCTATTTTTCAATCACCTTCAAAGGTGGCATTCACATAGAGGGTGGCATTCTAATAAAGGAAATACGGTACTCAACAAAATGCATTTTTTGTACTATGTTAATATATCACTTGAAATGAGAACAAAAGTGGTATTTTACGTTGGTTTGAGCAATTTAGGACCCTGTTCTAAATAAATATTTCATATTTCGTTCCTTTCGTAGGGAACGAATTGCATATCGGTTGGAAATTGGGGAAGAACAGCCCTGAGCTAAATTAGTGTTTTTTACTTAAACTATGAATTTTAAGTAGATTTTGAGTATTTTTCGTTGTATATTTAGTGCTTATTTTAGGAACTTCTGCATAGTTCAGTGCATATTTTGTGAGTCCCTAATAATGAATAATTAGTATTATTTATTTTTTGATTACCACTTGAGCAAATAATTGAATAATCAAGATTAAAATATCCAAAACACAATTTTGTATCAGAATTCGACTGTGTGTTTTCATTTCATTTGGTGTTTTAAAAATAATTAAAACAATCAGAATAATATTTAAAGGAAAACCAATTAATATACAAACAAAATAATCAAATTTAAATAAAATATTTAGTAAATCGAAGGACATTTTTTAATGAATAAAAGTTTAATTTATTTAATTGTAAATAATAATTATTTAGACGACAAAAAACTCAAAATTAATGTAAATATTTTTTTATTAAAATGTTTCACACCAATAATTTTCTAAATACAAAAAAATATTTTCGAGAAAAAACTTTGTTTATTCATTAAAATGTAAGTGCGTGGTTAAATTTTGAATAAATAATTATTAAAATTATATGTATTGGAAGGTTAAATTTGGTTATCAGCAAGTACTACTTATTTATAGAGGTAAGCTTTGGTTATACTATACCCTTGGTTGTGGAGGCAATAAAACGGGCGAAAAAGTAAGTTTTAAAAGTTTCTTGTTTGAGGGATGATTATAGACGAAAATATCTTCACAACTTTGAGTTATTAAGAATTAATATTTTTATATACAAAATCAATTAAAATATTAATGAACAAAAATTAATTACAGAAATAAATTTTCATAGATCTTATTGAATTATTTTTGTTTAAATTTCTTTATATTAAAAATAAATTGTAATAGAGCCATTAAAAAAATATCCAAACCAAAAGGAAAAGAAGCAAAAAAATTAAAAAAAAGCAATACAAATAACAGCAAAAAATCTAAAAATTATAATTTAAAAAAAATTTATAAAAATTTTTAAAAACTTGCCAAAGAGTAATCCAATTAATTTATCCATAAAAGAAAAGAGAATTTCATGATAATTAAATAATATTGTAAAACCAATAGAATAATTTAGTAGCAGTTTTTGTTAACTAAAAATAAATGTTAAAATATTAAAAACAACAAATCGAGTCGTTTTTTCAAATAACATGTTAATTAGATTAGAAAAAGAGGTTTAAACCCAATATCAATGTTATAAACAGGTTAATGATTGAATGGGTTGAAGGGGAACCCTAAATGACTAAAAACTTGTTGTCAATTTGTTGGGTGGACGTTTTATGTTTTAATGCCTTATGAAGTTTTTGACGAAAGATTTAGATGTTCTGAAGAATTGTAAAACCAATAGAAATTGTAAAACCAACGTTTTATGTTTTAATGCCTTATGAAGTTTTTGAAATATTATTTTTATTTTATATATTATTTTTATTTTGCTGTGTTGAGGTTTTTGTTTGTATTTTTAAATGCTAAACTAAACTCTATTTTTTTAATTTTTGCATAATTATTGGATAAAAATTTAACTGCATTACCTTAACTTCGCATAAATTTAAATCTGTAATTGCTGTGTCGTTGAATAAACTCCAAACCCCTATTTCGTGATTTTTGGTCTTCGAAGTAAAATGTCCCGGGGATGGAGTTTCGTGGTGTTGCTGAAATAATATTTATCTACTTTAAAGGCTTTTATTACTTACTAAAATCCCATATAAATCATACATCAAATTTTCCTTCTCCATCAAATCAGGAGAATTTGGATGGAGGTAGGTGGTCATATTGAGATTTTGTATTGGAAAATCGACAAAACGGTTATTCTTTGTTCCATCCCTGTATTTATAATTTATTTTTTAGATTAATTCTGGAGATTAATTATTTTAAATATTTACGGCTTTACACGTCCCAGATGAATAATTAAAACATCAGGAAGACGCCAGATATAAGTTAAAGCCGGCGCATTTTTGTTTCCACATCGTTGGCATTCGTCCGTTTGCATAATTTGAAAATAGCTATCTAGACAGCTTTTCAAATCAGTGTCATTGTCGTCTGTGGAAACATTTAAGTCGACATCAATCTTTAGAATAAGAAAATTTTAGGTTTATTTTCATTAAATTTAGACCTGGTCATCAAAAACTATCTTTTCCATCGGGCAAGGGCAGGCAACTATTATCACATAAACTACCCGAAATATGTCTTCACTGAAGAACACATATTTCGCCGTTTGCTTGCAAAATAATCAGTTGCTGCTGTAGTCAACGCTTCTAGGGATGCATTATAGACATTTTCGGGATAATTGTTCTAAAGTAAAAAAATATAGTTATTTTTCAGGCATCTTATCTTCATTATTATAATTATTTTTTAAATTCATCCTAGTTTTGGGGGATTATATTTGAAGAAATTTCCAATGAGAATTAGCTTTTAAAACTCAATTAAAAAATAACGATACTTCATTAGTGTCTTCAGCAAGTTTGTCCAAAAGCATCCCTTGAAACTTGTGAAAAGCGTGTTGCGGTGAT